ACTGTCAAATGAATTGTACAGGATCATGTCATATTCCGGCATGCTCGTGCATCTTCAGAGTGCAAAATGATGCTTCAGAACGTGCAGTATCCGAACGTGCTTCCTGCAATTCAAGCAGAATCAGCAGATGTTTTGAAGAATTTCAGATATCCCGGTGGTTCTGTTAACTCTGACAGGTATGTATGATGAAGTTGGTGCGCGAATCTTAAAGGTCTGAACCACTCACTAATTCGCGTTTCAAGGATCTTGCGTACAGTCTACGGTAAGGGCTGTTTTGTCGAATGGTTGCGAGATTTAACCTTTGCCAGGTTGGTCAGCAGTTAGAGGTTTGATTAGCGGTCTCCTGGTCTTCCAGGCTGGAAGTTGATCCTTAAAGATGTGGGCTGCTGTCATGGTCTTACGCTAAAAACTGCCACTTTGCAGTTAGTCTTGTCGGCTAGAGGCTTTCGTTGGGGGGCCTTAATCGTCCTCTTGTCCAGACTGGACGCCTTTTCTGTATCCCAGCTCAAGTAGAACCACAGATGGCACAACTACAAATGATCTATTACCACATAATGTCTATGTGGATTCGGATCAAACGCGTATTCGTTGCTACCTATCACGCATTTCGGAGGCTCTCAAGATACCAACACCGCTTGGTCATCGAAAGGCTCTCGGAACACTGCAGGATGCTGGGGGTTCCGCTTGTGGAATGGCGCAACTAACTGCATCTTCACACTCCACCAAACATCAGCAGCAGAATGCCGTGCACTCTTAGTGATCCTTGACTTCGAGAGTGCGCTCGGTCCTGCCGATCGGTTCGTCATTTCAACACGCTTGTGAAACGGAATATGCCCCAGTATTCGGTGACATAGATTAGAACAATTTTTTGAGGGTGAGGATGTTTTCCTACATGCCGTTCTACTTACTGTCCTACGAAGAGCATCCCTCATACTCTACCGTCATTTCTACGCACTCTGTAGCCAGTGAATTACGTTGACAAACTTTCAGCCTTCTGGTTTTGATAAAGCTGGATTTCGATCACAGCTATGACAATGAGTATGCGGACTAGATTGCTCTCCTTGGTTCAGATCCTTCAAAAATACTGGCAGTTCTAATTAACCCAAAAAATCCTGCCGCATGGTTTGCTGTGCTTCGCACCTGCAAAGTGTAAAGTGCTACTACAAGACTGGGTTGGATTAAACCCAACCCCAAAGCTGCAGACGAGCCAATCGATTTAGCAGATAAATTTATTTATCTGTGCATTTGCAAAAGTTACGTTGAGCTGCTTGAAGGTGAGGTTAATTCTGAAATCGCGAAGGCCAGTGCAACTTTTGCCAGCGCTGTCGGTGGCTCCAAAGCATTGGTAGGGTCTGGTTGGAGAAAAATCGTTCAGCTGTAGCACACTTTCGGTGCTAACCTGCATGTCACCAAAAAAAGCACGAAGGCTGGGGTATTGCCAGGTTGCCCAAGTCTAGACAGGAGAAGTCAACAGGCAGTGGTCTGGTTCGAACCACGGATCTTCCGGCCATTAAATTCGCGCTCCACTAAACCATTGTTACAAATAGAATATCGATTCTGATTGAGCGCGAGAACAAGAATGAATAGCGCTTTACTTGTCTAAGAATAGACTTACATAAGCTGAAAATGAAGGCGAAAGCATGGTTAATACAAAACGATAATGCGAGCACAAAGAATATTCATGACATTCACCCTGGCCGTTGGATTGTGTGTAGAGGAATAAATTGGGTACAGGTATTGGATGAATGATTGTAAAAATCTAATGAGTAATAATGAGTGTGGTTAGGCTTCTCGATTTCTTAAAATGTAGGGCCGTGTACGCTGCTGGAGCCTGGCTAGATCAGAGATGCTAGGGTCATATGTATCTGGAGATGCAGGTGCATTGCCCGGGCACGGGGGTGAGCGGAGGCGTGTGCAAGTCAGATAGAGGGGGTGCATGAACACCATTGTCTTCACTGGATGAGGTACGCGTGAAATCGTTGACATGTGTGCGATCACCACAAGGAGCGAGATGGCGGACGGATACAGTGCTTTCTTTCTCGCCGGGAAAACGAACACGGGCGTAATGTGGATAGAAATTTATAAGTTGGACTTCCTCAACGACGGGCTCATACTTTGAGGCACGGTCAAATCCCTTCAGTAAAACAGGTCCTGGAACAGTGAGCCAAGTTGGCATAGATAAACCACAGGATGACCGACGTTCAAACCGGAACAACCGTTGATGTGGAGTGGCATTCGTGGAGACGCAGAGAAGGCACCGTATAGAGTGGAGGGCATCTGTTAGAGCCGACTCCCAGTGACAGATTTGGAGGCCTTTCGTCTTGAGTCTAAGTTGGATTGCGTTCCAGAGTGTCCCGTTGAGGCGTTCGACTTACCAGTTCCCCTGGGGATTATAAGAAGTTGTTCGGCTGTCATGTAGGAATGTGGACAGTGCGCCAGATATGAATGAGGAGCCACGATCCGAATGTACATATGCAGGCATGCCAAGCAAAGAGAATAACTCATAGACATTTAATAACTGTAGGCGTACATGTATCCGCGCAGGGAAAGGCAAACGGAAAACGAGAAAACTCGTCAACGATGGTAAGGAGATATCGGTTTCGAGTAACACAAGGTAGAGGTCCTTTAAAATCGATGTTAATTCGTTCAAATGGTTGGGGCGCTTTGATGAACGTAGCGGGGGTGGTTTTTAAAACTGCGGTTTGATGGCGGCGCAAACCGTACACTTTGTGGTGATGTCCTTGACATCTTGAAGAGAAAACGGCAAATTTTTGGAAAGAACAAAATGGTGCATTCGAGTAATTCCAGGATGGCACAAGGAATCGTGAATTTCTTTTAATTTACCATTGCCCATCACATTGGTGCATAGGTTACGCGATAAGGTGTCAGCAACCAGATTGTCTTTTCCAGGTCGGTAGCTGACATCGTAGCTAAAAGCCGGAAGTTCCATTTTCCATCGCTGGATTTTATCATTTTTTATGTTACTTTTCTGAGACAAACCATACATAAAGGAAACTGACCGCTGGTCAGTGATAAGCTCGAAGTGCTTCCCGAAGAGATAATGCTTCCATTTACGGATAGATTCAACGATGGCTTATGCCTCCTTCTCAATAGCAGAGTTATTCTTTTCGCTCGGTGTCAGTGTTCTAGAAAAGAAGGCCACCGTTTGGCCGTTCTGAGTCAGCGATGCAGCAATGGTTACGTCTGAGGCGTCAGTCTTGACAACCAATGGTGCGTTGTAGTCGACTGTCACAACCATGGCGTTCTCTAACTCCTTTAAATTTTCGAAAGATTGTTGCACACTCTCCGGTAAGGGGAAAGTCTTATTTCTGACAAGCACACTGATTTTGTCAGAGAAGCATGGTATCCATTGCGAATAATAAGCAAACATACCAACAACTCGTTGTTGGGATTTAGCGTCATGTGGATGAGGGAGTTCACGGATAGGTTTCATTCGTTCAGGATCTGGTTTGATAAGAAAGATTTGAGGTTCTGGTCATGCTCACTTTGGGTAGTCCCCACAAATGGTGACGTTGTCGATGTAAGCGTAGGTGCTACTTAGGTTCTCAGACTTGATTATATGGTCAATAGTACGTTGAAAGCATGCTACTCCGTTGGTTACACCGAAAGGAATACGACGGAACTGAAACGGCTCTCCGCATGCTTCAAAAGCCGTATACGGTTTGTCTTGCCCACTGATTGGAACTTGATGGTAAGCACTCAATAGGTCTAAGGTGCTAAAGACAGCATGACAGGAAATTTCTTCGATCGTTTTATCCAGTCGCGGTAACGGATACGCGTCTAGGTATGTGAACCGATTAATGGTTTGACTGTAGTCTACTGCCATGCGTCCTTTGTGGTTTGAATTTTTCGTGACCAGTACTTGAGCCCTCCAGGGAGAATTCGAAGGTTCGATTATACCTTCATCCAATAGTCGGTTAACTTCAGAGCGGATAAATTGTTCGTCGTCAAGATTATAACGTCGCGATTTTGTAGCGATAGGCTTGCAGTCGGGTGAGAGGTTAGCAAAAAGAGGTGACTCGACCGTAGAAGCAGGTAGACCGCAGAGGGTGAATGAACCTCGGTTCCCACCGAATGTGATGTCAAATTTCGTTATGTAGAACAAAGAAGTCATGGCCTATCAGCAGGTCAGCACATAGATTGGGTAATCCCAATAGTTTGATTTTTTTGTACACGGTACCCCTGTAATCGATGGATGCGTAGCAGTAGCCTCTAGTTGAACACTTCAGAGAGGTAGATGCCATGGTAATCACAGAATCGTTAGCATATGTCTTCCAGCGATGTTTACCAACTACTAAAGGAGGTATATAACTGCTCTAACTTCCTGTGTCTATGAGGGCCTGAAGCGATATCCCGTTCACCTTTATGCTGGTCACCGTGCGAGACAAGCAGATCGGGGCCGCAGCAGTCAACAGGGAAGATATGGCAGAATCCATCGTGCAATTTGAGTGATTCTTTACAGATTTGGATCGATAAACACGCTGAAAATGACCCGTTTTGCCACATGATTTACAAACTGCTTCTCTTTCGGAGCATTTTGACCGTGGATGTCTGAAAAATCACGGCATGCCCTCGTCTGGCCCCTATGTTTAAACCCGGCCTCTGCCTCTAGACTTCATCTGACTACAGCCTGGCGGTATCCCAGCCCTCACACTTTCCTCTGGTGACATGCCAGCTAGGCACCGAAAGAATGCTAAAGCTGAACGACAATTATTAGTTTATTACGTGACACATCCGTCCAATGGGCGAGCTCGGTTCTTGTAGAGAGCCCGGCTTCCGGAATGAAGGCATATCTGTTCTCGGGCTTTTGGCAGAACTGCACAGTCAGTTCAGGCCATACCATGTGTAGTCATTTAGCTGTTCTGGACTTTCCTTTCATTCCTAGCTTTTGTGGCGATTTCAGTTCAAGATCCATTTTATCTGATCGGTCACCGTTGCTGGGCACATGGGCTAATGCGGTCCGTTTTTTTGATGAATTAATGGCTCCATCTATAGCGAATATTATTGGCTGTCGAATGGTAATGTTCCTCCGTTGTCTAACTCCTTCAGTTTTCAGAAAAGTTGTGTTTTGTCTGTGCAACGGCATTTATTGTCCTCTCAACGTACTTTTTTGTCGTGCGACCAGCCTTGATTTTGTACATATTCTCCGGGTTTTTCGTGGTCGCAATGGTCTTCCGAGTAATAAACTACTGGCGGTCGAATTACCTACTTTTCATGTTGGATACCTGCTATTTGATCAACCTAATATCTCTCTGTCTTATTTGGTATGGATGCTTTCACGCTTTTAACCCTATTTTTCTTATAGGGCCTTTCCAACATGTCATAAGCTACAACGTATCCAGTTTGGACTAGCCAACGCACATGCGTATAGCGGAGCGTTTCTGTTTCGGAACGCCCTAGTGCTGCATGATTTTCAAAAATTGGTTTCCTCATTCATTCACATATTACCGGTGATTTTCTCCTATCTGTGAGTTAGTGCACATTGTGTTCCTGCTCACATATCCTTTTTATTTGGCGAATTTGCTTGGACTGCCTATTTTGTTTAACCTAAGACCTAGTCGCAATGCTTTCTGGAACAGCGAGTTCGGGTTTTACCCTTATGTCCGAAGGTGCGCATGTAGTTCTTTCGAAATCAGTCAAGACAGAACGTGACTACTACTTGGGGAAATCGATCACTATTTAGTTTGCCGCTCGGCAACTGCATGGGGATGCACCGACTCCAAATGATTCGTAAATCAAGAACAAGATATGTGTACTCTGTACAGTGGGACAAATTTTTCATGGAAAAAAGTGTTGTCTGTTTTGTTGATCCATTATAAGTGTATAGCTTGATTGTGGTTGACTTCTACAGTCTTGTACCACATGGCGTCAGAATGGTTTATCCCTGAATCTAAAGGGACGTGTGTATCAAGCTACAGTACGGGCTGTTTTGTTGTATGGCTTCGAGACTTGGCCTGTTCGAGCAACGAACCTGAGACGTCTTCAGGTGTTCAACAATCGTTGTCTCAGAACCATAGCTCGTCTGGGTTGGTGTCGGTAAATCCGTAACGAGGCAGTTAGAAAGCGTGTTTTCGGTTGTGTAACGGGTATTCCCATTGAAGAATGTGCCCAGCACCAGAAGCTGCGTTGGTTGGGACTTGTGTTACGTATGCCGAACCATCGTTTGCCGAAGAGAGTGCTGTTTTCCATGCCCAACTCAGAGTGGCGTAAACAGAGAGCTGGCCAACCTTTGACGTGGCAGAGGAGTATGAAGGAGATCACGAAACGCTTGGGTAATGTCGGTGTTACTCGCCTTCCAGGATGGCAACCGCGTGATCCTCACTGTGCCTGGTTGGAGACACTACAAGATATGGCTGCCCAGTGATGTCAGTGGCGTTCTTGTTGTCAGTTTCTATCCAGATTGCCTGAGTGAATGTCTGGAGGTGTAGGCACCTCGAAATGATTGTGTTAAACCAGCACTAAGTCTTTTCCACGTCCACCTTTATTCTTTTCTTTACAATAAGGCTTTCAAATAGATCATGGTTGTACGGCAGTGAAGCATCGGTGTTGAACACTGATTTCATGCTGTCGATGATGATGATGACCAACATAATCGAAAAAAGTGTTTCAACACCTCGCCAGTCTACAAAACCGAAGGATGAACCTGGTGCTTGTTCAGAATGTGGGTTTCGCTGGCTAGAGACATGTTTACTCCCCCACTAGGGCAAAAGTTAGAAAGTCACTATTTTACTAGCATCACGTACAACGACACTAGGAGATTGCGTCTGAGTCGAAAATTGAGCATGACAACACTAAATATTTTCTTTTCTTTACATGTACGTTTTCCGAAAATTTTGTTGCGCTGACACGGAACTGCTAAAATGACATTCGGATTACGGCAGATTTCAGGCTTTGCTAACGCATCTAGTACATTAATGAGCCTCTATCACAATCGTCACCGGTACACTTGACCATAGGTGTGCTCACAACTCCACAACGCATCGTTCATTATTTTCCTATGTAGGATAGCCTTGATTGCATCTGCCTGTTTTCTGTTTGAATTAATATGCATCCTGTCTGCTTCGTTCTATTCCCATCCAGACTGCGGTGGTTTCCGTCAGAGACATCCACCTTGTGGTACACTGCATTTTCCGATACCGGCGCTAAACCCAACATATACCTCTGGATTCATGACCTGGATTGGTTTTATGTGATGCTTATTCCCCTCACAATTTTTACTGCACGAGAGGTGAGATGTAATTCGTCTTGCTCTACAAAAGTGCTTGTTTTCAACCTCAAGTTGTTAGTCGATTTGCCAAACCTGATGTCTTTCGCATCTACTGAGCTAAAACACACTACAAATAACATATCGAAATTCTTTTAGGTGCGTCCTCTGAGCTGGACTCGGGGGTAACAATTACTTTATTCCTGTGGGTAGCATGGCAGCCGACAACGACACAACCTTACGGCCATATTACCAGTTTTCGTTACAGCACGCTGGAAACAAAAGAATGGAGTTGCTTCTTCCAACTTAGAATACATATCTTGATTGATGGTAGTGTAGGCAAATCTGTCCCTAGTCTTACAGGAAAAGCGGCCGTTTTCGTAAATAAACCGGAAGTCAATGTGTTTGTACATTGTTGCCGTTGCTTTTCAGTTTCTTTGATATCCATACTTCATGGAAACTCTCGAAAGCCTAAATGTGGCAGCCTTTTGCTTCCTTCGGTTGGGTGGACAGCTTTCAAAGTGCGGTGATGTAATTTCGAAATGGTTGGCTGGCGTCCGAAACGGCTCTCTCTAACAGTAGTTGGACCATTGCACACATGCGCATAGTCGTGTGCGCCAAGCGGAATGTGATGCTACGTGAAGCCGCTTATGATGATGTAGGCTGGAAAGAATAGGGCCAGGATGGAAAATACGCAAACGTGTGGAGAACAGCCACCCGGTCCAAGCATGTTGGCACAACTCTGAGCACTGACACTAGTTTTACCTCAAGGTGCCGACATAATCCATCACTTCCTTCCATCAAATGAATTACCGGCTCTCTGATGGGCTGATGCCCAATATCGCACCATTTGCGTGAGAAGGGACAGCCAGGCGTTAACTGTTATTCGGTTGGCTGCTAATACTTTCACATCGTGGGAGCGACCTAAAGTGAATGAGTTGGCTGCCGGCTAGTCTGGTTCTGCTTAAGCTACACTTTAATGTGGTTGTTGCACTCGGTGCAGGGTCCTTTTCGAATTATTTTGTTCCGCGCGCTGAGGTGCACTGCTTTTCGAAGCTCTTCAAGCTGGTACAGACAGCCGAGCCTCCATCAAGTGTCGGATTTTTTCACGACCCGAAGTTGACTTATATATATATATATATATATANTATATACCTCACAACCTGATGTGTTGAAGCTTTGCTGTCCATAGATAATGATTGCTTCGAACGCGCTTACGTTTGCGGCCAAAATCAGCCCGTACGCTCGCACACAGCTAACGAACAGTTAAATGAAGAACAGTCTTTGATATGCACTGGCAACCACCGAGTAGTCATCTGCATCTTGCCAATATTTGTGCTGATGTACTTTCGCAATCAGTTTTTTTCTTATTGGTTGTGTAACATTGGGGGGCAGGAATGATTTGCAATGTGTCGTCTCAAGTATTGCTCCACGACCCCCTGTAAGACATCGTTTTGAAGTGGCCTGCATTTCTCAGAATGAAAAAAAGACCATGTTCCCATTGAGGTCTGTCGTACCGGGTTACATTCGTAAGACTAATAAAGTAATAAGTCATATTAGTGATTAGCTTGGCAATGTTTGAAGACTGGTTGCTCTGTACTTACTTTTTTGTGGCCTCAAATTTTGAACAATGGGGTGGTTGTCCTTATATTGGAAGAGACGAATGAAAGCGTCCCATTTTTATGGGACGTTCATAGAACTAGGTCCATCGCCTTTTAGTTCCATGGGTTCAACAGTTCCTATCCGAGTGTACTGTTGTATCGGACAACCCGTGAGCTTGTCGAAACTTGTGTGATCTTCGTTGATCCAGTAGTGGAATGTATACATCCTAATGGTTGCTTCGTGCTCGCGAATGCCTGCAATTTGAGTTGCAGCCGAGATGGCTAAAATGCCCTTAAGGAGTAAGCTTGTGTTTAAGCTTATTGACTGCCAGGGATTGCATTCTGCGGTAGAATTGTGGACAGTTCATCCGGTCGATCAACATTTTTTTCATGCATTTCACGTTATAACGGAGTTATAACGGAAAAGTCATTGCTATCTATTAAATGGCTGATTATCCAGTCTTTCGCTAGGACATACCTCTATATGTCTTCCTACACAGTATCCCAGGAATTTTATTGCTGTCGTTTCTCTAGATTCTGTACTACCTAATCATTTATGGCTGTGTGAAACCGAGTGAAAAGCATTTGGACAGTTATCGGTACATGCACAAAAAGAAACTATTGGCCCATTTACTCTGGAATCGTTTCCATGCGAGGTGAGCTGCTTTTTTTCAGTGTAGTTGTGTGGAAGACAGATCGTTAAATTCGGACGATTTATCACATGCGCGCCCGATTAGATTGAACACCCCATCTACAAAAACCAACAGCATGGCATTATAGGTGGGTTCAGAGCAAACGTTTCATCTCGGCTATCAGAAGTGAGAAGCCGATGGGGTGTTCAGTATTCAGTCCTTGTTGTATGGAGACAATACACATCAATAGGAAGCAAGTTCAGTGCACAAACACAGGCAGTATGTTGTTTAGCTTTTTTCAGAGTGCGAACGTCAGGTGGGGTGAACTTCGGGGTTTGAGGAATGCCTCCGACGTGTCTTTGACCGTGTTGGTCCAGTTAGGTTTAGATGTTACAGCCAACAACAATTTGAGGCTAGTGTATCTATCACTGCTTATGTATGGGCTAACGTTGACGTCGCTAGCGATGGGCTGAGGGGCTGTCAGCAGTACCCTTCTTCGCCTATTTGCTCTTCTGCATGTAGCGACTAAGGTAACTTGGTTGATATAGGCCAGTACAATTTTTCAAGGAGCAAGTCGCCAGCTGACAGCGTTAATCAGGCTACCCATTAACCAACCTTGTATGACAGGCTGCTACTCTCCCCGGTGCAGTTCACTGGGTTACAGAGGTGATAATTGGCAGTGCAGCTACACATAAAGGCGATAAACCTGTACCCCACGTTCAGTAAAATGAAAAAATGGCCTTGTCAACTACAATTTCGTTTGTGATAAAACAGTGAGCTTTCTGGGCGAAAGTTCAGTCGCTGTAAACAAGATTCGCCAAACAAAAATTACACCGGTTTTACACCTAAATGCATGTGGCAAGTCGCTTACACCTTTAAACTGAATTTTCTCGGCAAATCGTTCTCTGTATCATCCCTTTTAATTTTGTAGAATGACCGGTTATGACCATCGATTACCTTTCACACGAATTCCCATGCTGGCGAACTTTCGTGGTACTTTTATCAGCTTCTCATCACCCACACATCCACTACTTTCGTTCCACTTATTATACCTGGTCTTGTTCTTCGATCACAGATGGCATTTGTTGATCTGGATCGTCTTCTGCATCCTGTCCAGTGTTGTGGTTCTGTGTCTCGCCCTGATCGCTTGGTGTAGCTACTTATTCCACAGTTGCCTGATAATCATCCAGTTGCTCACTATCAGTTGGAATGGTGCTTGCTACTACGTGGATTATTACCCCATCGAAGTACAACGCCGATGTCCTCAACCGTTGAACAAATTGCCGCTGGAAGTCTTAAATCCGGAGGATCATGAGCTCCTGAAGAACATAGATGAAGGGAAAAATCCTGGCGGGATGTGCGAAAGTGATGCTGACGTCCCCTGTAGATTGGTTAGCTGTGAATCTGCGCACAAGATTACCGAACTAACATGTCACTCTGCACATTCCGTCGATTCTTCGACGAATGTTATGTTAGAATATGACAGCATGGCTTCGAAGGAGCGCAATGGGGATAATATTGCTGTTTGAAGACGTATATTTTGGTCACACAGCCAATTGGTGCACGATTTTGTCCCGGTTTTATTCTCATTTTCATTCCTCTGTCCGTCGGTCTCACTTACTGTCTCAGGACGCGTATCTGTACGCACTTAGATCTGTTGGTAGCATTATTGTTGTCTTTCTCCTAGGTTTTGCACGTACTCACTTTGCTGTTATTTTCAGTTTGTCATATAGTCACCTACCACTCTAAAAGAATTGCCATTCACTAGTTTTTCATGTTATTTGCCCTGGTTACGTATCCTATTCACGCCACCCTCCAATGCCGTAATATGTTGTTCGCTACAGAGTGCAAGAGTAATCGGACGAAGATTCCTCACAACTACTTTACTTTTTGAAGTCATGGGTTCTCACACGATCTGGGTAGTTAGTGTCAGTGATTAAAGCCCTTTCGGAGAAGTTTGATGCAGTTTACAATGCAATCATGAGCCAGCTAAATTCCCTTAAGGCCCGAATCATTCTTTCGATCTTTTGTTACCACATGAGCCTGAATCCTACAGCGTATGCTACAATCCGTATGTGCCAAAGGTGAACACGAACTTTGATTATCCAATCAATAGCGCTGGGTCATTTTAACCAATCGATGACTTGGAACAAATACCGACCAACCTCAAGAGCCAGAGTCTATCAGATAGGGAACCAATGAATGGATGTACTTGAAAATGCAAAGAGCGTCGGACAATGTTGATCGCAATCTAGTGAAAACTCAGAAAGAGATGCCTGCAGTCCGACTCCACCCGATTGCGCTCAGCGCCTTCGCAGCGGCAGCACCTACACCGCTTGATATGACAGATCAGCGGAAGCTAGAAGTGGTGATTGTAGAGAGGATTTTCTATGCCCGGGCGGATTTCATTTGATATAGAAGGAACGACAGCTGTTGATGTTCCTGCATGCAGTTGAAGCTGCTCGTGTCGTCGCCAGTTCGCTGAATCGGTGTCTGCTGTCGTCGAACGCTGTATTGTGGGATAGGCGAACAAAAAGTCCGCAACGTTCCGATTTTCCACCCGGGACGTCGAGTGCCTTCATCACTAGAATACCATGTCGGAGAGTACTGATATGTCATTAAAAAAATGGTCGAAGGAGGCCAGTGTCAATTTAAGAATCTCTCCCTGATGTACTCCAAAGACTGAAGTACCTAGGCACTTCCATGTGCCAAGCTATCCGACATGGAGAAACTTATTCGGTTCGTATGGGAAAATGGAACATCACGGTGAACTAAGCATACAGTGATCCTTTGTTAGAAGATGCGGCCAGAATTAGCAACCACGCTCGGCTTCGGTAGGGCTTGACGTTATGTTTATTGTGAGGTTTGGTTAGACCGACCTATCTGCGTTGTCATGTGCTATGCAAACGCGACGCAGTGCGATAGGAAATGACCTACATGCCACGTCCTGTAAGCGGTTGTGCATACCCACTGACGCTTGCTACGCTCCGATCCGCTCCCTAACATCGCAATGATGATGTCATCTGGATTAATGATGAATCGGTTGCAATCAAATTGCCAAGCTCAGTGTGCAAACAAACGACCAGCGGCTTAAGTTCACTACGTCAAACAGTGCTTAGTCCGACCAGGCCTCACAAATTGCTGTAGTTAAACACCGCACCGTGCACATGTCGCACTTTCCACGTTTTTCCGGAACATTTCGCTGCTTACTTCTGTGGCTAGGTCACGATATGTCACTTCCGCTAATGTTGGATTGTTGAACACTGAACCCAAGCCCTTTCAGCACTTACTTCTCGGATTGTTTTACAGAGTAACATCGAGTTCGGGAGTGCATTAATTCAAAGAACTATTTTCGCCTAATGGATGCGCCTTCTAGATGGGCAAAAGATTCGCGTATGGAAGGTTTTCGAACGGCACTGACGAACATTTTCAGTAGTTTCCATCGTTACTTGAGCAGGACAATGTTTTGGAAAAGCGAGACTTGGCAGTAGAAAGCCGAACATAGGATAACAACACACAATCCTCACTCGCCTGCCGCTGAACTCTTTACTGTTCTGTGACTGCAATAATTCGGACCATATTGCGTAGTATTTAACCTCAATTTGGTGTGTCTGGCGAGTTGTGTGAATCACTAGTCTATCCGGGCATACTCCCATCTTTCCCACCCGATTTGGCAGCCGCAGTTTATCGCGTATGAACGCTGTAGACTGGGACACAAACAAGCTAAACTGTACCCAGGCCGCTGTATGCAAGGCCTTGCTCGATGGGCAAACTTCAAAACGGATACATCTAGGATGGATCAGTGGTTGGAGTGCGAATTTACCGACTGGAAGGTCCGTGATTGGAAACCGACCTCTGCCTCTCGACTTCTGTTTAGACTTGGGCGACTTGGCAGTATCCCAACCCTCGCGCCTCCCTCTGGTGGCATGGCATTTAAGCACCGAAAGGGTGTTACAGTTGAACTATTTTTTCGGACACATCTGCTGTCCGCTTGCATCTCAACACAACACTACATTCCCAGCGCTCGTGCTTCCTTCGGGTGGCATGGCAGCTAGGTACCGAAAGGGTGTTACAGCTGAACTATTTATTGTTTTTTACACTTCAGCCGTGACAACTAAATAGACGATTGACTTCTGAGTTGGACTTACTAGTTTGGAGGTACGGTCAATTTTGCGCTAGCTAACATGTCCATATTATTCCCATTTCCGTGAAGCTACGTTCCGGGGCAAACAAACCATTTTCAAACAAGTTTAGTCATCAACGGAACACCGATGACGCTCTCAAGGATTTGTGACAAACGTTTGCGAGCAAACTCGGGGAACAGATCTACGACCAATTAAGGTGCATGAACTAAACATACTTCGACATAATAACATAATCACTTACGGTCGCAAGCAATTAATCAAACAAATTAACCCACTCAAAGTAGGTTAGATTGGTTGATTGGATCCCTTCATCAAAAAACATACAAGACTTGCTTCCAACGTTGATGGGTAGCAGGTGTGGTGTGACTTCGTGTAGAAGTATTACAAATATAAATAACAATTTTGTAGAAACACTCGTAAGTCATCTGCTATGTTTTGAATTGTCTAAAGACGAATGTTTCTATGCATTTACATCCCTACATGTGTGAAATCCTCATTAGAGAAAAGTGTAGGATTAAAATCAACAATAGTATCAACAAAGTACGTTTGCGACAGTCGTGCAAAGTACCTTGTAACGCATCATTTTTATTGCTTCCCATCATTCTACGGATATTACAAGTCCCACTAACAACCTACTTCCAACTGCTATAGCACGCAGGTCAACGAAGTGCATACTGCACCTAAGAAGGATATCCAACCAAATTAAAGTGTAAGCCCCCCTAACCCATCCATGGTAGGTATCAGTCACCCACAATAAATAAACTGAATTTTCGACTAGCATTCAGCAATGATTAATCGTAACTAGTGGAGAGAGGAAACTGGTTTGTCTTGAAACTCGGTCAAACTCGAAACTTATTCAGTTGGCCTGACGAAATTTTGTGTCAAGATGAAGTGTTACCCAGCAATCCACTGAGTGTTTACCAAACCTATCCGGAGAGATAACTTTTCAACCAGTCCCATTTCTAGCTAACTGATTCAAGTCGGCTCAAGCAGCGTCAGCTACCTCATCCACTGGTACATGTGTCCCTTCTCGGAGAGTTGTGTGCGACGATCAAATGCTCGGCAATTCCCAAGGTGTCCCGTTAGCGAATTCCATGTAGACCGAGTTGATATCAAACTCCACAAAGAGTCTATCCATAATCAGAGGGAACCAGTGACGGTACTCACTCCTAATATGTGTTTGATTTCCCAGCTTTAGAATGCTAGATACGAATCTGTCCGTTATTCACCCCATATGGCTTAACGATTTTTGGTAGCTCGCAAAATGGAGCGTGAAAGATACTTTAAGGATACCACCTATTTTCTCTCACGGATCCTAAATAGCTACCAACATCAACCCTGTAACCCGTTATACACATAAGAAGGCCAATGCTAGTGTGTCAATATGGTCCATTATTTTATGTTCGTTTGTTATTCGCCATATTCCAAAATTTCAGTGGCTCGTGTAGTTACGCGTCATACTATGGAGATAACAAAGTTCGCATCATGACACAGTAAGAAGATATTCTGTCAACTCAAGATGGACTAGAAGAACAATGCACCATACTCAAGTGGACTCATTCCTGTGCATGGTTTTGCGACGTTAATCCAAACAAGCTGTTTGAAAAGAAGCGAGACTGTTTGGGTAGTATTACAATGTAGAATTGGTCACTCTGTGCATTTGCTAAACACTCAGGTTTAACGAAACAGCGACAGGCGCTTAAAAAGCCAAAACAGGACATGGTTGGTGGGAATAGGTACATAAGTTCCTGGAGAACAAGGACAGCTACGAGAGGACACTATGTTGTGCTGGATAGTCCGATGGCATTCGCGTCGATACCAAATAGATCAAGTATCTCCATTTTCCCCTGCGAACCGCCTTCATGATACTTAAGCAGTTCCTCCAAAGCTCCTTGAGCCGCTCTTTTCCACTTTTCTGTTAATAACTCCATTTTCTTCATCTCAGGCTGTGGTTGGTTTCGGACTATTAACTTGAATAACCACAAAAATTACGTCATTCTGATACCGATTGAGTAATCTCAGTTGACGAAGTAAGTCCTGTTTAGAAATGTTGTCAAACTATAAGGAAATGTATTGTGATGCATGAAATGAAACTCACTGAAATTTCCCGTCGCTGCGATGAAGTTGCTGGTTCCATCATTTGGAACTGTAAGAAAGAACACATGCGAAAGTAAAAGGGAACAAAATCACCCGTCAAAAAACTAGTCAACAGACGGAACCCTCATTCAGGCAGTGCTATATAGAGTAATTTCAGAAACGTTCTAGCGCGATGGGTTATATCTGATTCGAACAATCTCCACGGAAACAACTCCACTGTATGGATATCTGTGCGGGAAAGTGCTAAAGGGTGCAAACAGACACTAACAAGCCTATCCGAAAGGACCGAATCAACGACTAAAAGTTTCGAAATGCATGGAAGAGTTTATTACAGTGATCGTCACATGGAAGGCCATTATATTTACAAAACCATATACAACCAGGCTTGTAGGAAAATGATCTACTGAAGCGGGGTTTCGCTGATGAATTAAGGAAGAGATAGGTCCATTTAGTTTCCACGGATCAGGTGACTCCGAGAAATCAAGGCCGAGGCAGCGTGTTCAATTCCAGCATCGTCCAAACCGTCAAGAGTAAGTCGGCGCACGCAGTCTTCTACAGTGCTGATACTGCGAAGAGTGCTGTCAGTCACTGAACCAAACAGTATTCGTTCTGCGTAGACATGCATTAATTTTGGAGCGAACGGAGCAGCAAGAATGCAGAGGTCCGGAAGTGCAGGCAACAATGTAGAGATGAGTGAGTCACTGGGGTTAATTTTGTTGGATAAAAGGGGCATAAAAAAGGACTGGACAATCTCCGCCGACAAGTGCGGATAGTGACTGAGCAACCGCAGGAGTAACTTCACGGCAGTTGTAGAGACATTCTCATTGGAATGAGAGAGCAGACGCGTGAGCTCCAACTGAAAGACGAAAGGAAACTGAATCAAATATCGACGGAAACAAATACAAACAAGCTTGAAGGTGTGAACATGTTTCAGCCATCAAAATCCAGGTGGCCCCGAAAGAAACACATTAAGGAAAATTAGTTCGGCCTTTCAATGGAAGAAGCTTTCGACATCATGTCATACCTCTTCCCAGACTACCCAGTGGATTACACCGCGAGTTTTGCACCTGTCGCGTCCTTCTAAAGAATCGATGGGCGTTAAGGTAAAATAACCGGTTTCACAGTTCTGACTACGTTGATAGCCTGGTAGAGCAAGACAGACCCATAAAATTCAGCCGTCAAAAAAGTAGACAAACCATGTCTAGATGGAGCACCAATACGGGGATACTCTGAATAAATCGAGAACATCGAGTTTCTGTTGCTTCTCCCACAATTAATCGCGAATAACCGACACATATCTATTAGCTGACGCTGTTGAACGTACAATAATGCTGCTACTGATATGCAGTGTCATTCTATTCGTTTCCATAAGCCAAAATAATGTGGTCCCCTTCCACTCCAGAATAAAACCTCTAGAGGAGAGCCGAGGGTACAACTCGTCCAAGCTGGCACATTTCAGTAATATACAACCTTCAATTTTCCTATCACATAAAATCGTGACGAACAGCTTTCACCTTGGAGTGTTAGGTCTGGGTGCTATAGTGATTCGGTGGGCTACACTGACCGTGACGGCGTTCTTCAGATTACCTGGGGGTTCTGAAGTATTGGCCAGTGGTATACGTGGCATGCGAGTAGCACTACCGGACTGAATGCACTTCATCAGGCTCGATCTCAACAAACCTAAATCCTAATTACGGAGCTTTGATGATATAAACATGGAAAATATCTGAAAGAAGTCAGGTATTCACGTGTACATATCGAACTGAATGTGGGTTACTGTTTTTAATGCATGAAATAACTTTTCTTCACATATGTAATTACTCTTTGATTTTATCAGAAAACCGAAAAAAAAATATGATGAAAGTCGATCAAGAGTAAACTGACCTTGTATTGAAGTAAAACTTCAGTACACCGCTTTGAAGCATCGTCCAGGTCTTCCAGTAGTTGTGGGATATCTGGGTGGTTCAGAGTACAGAGAACAACAAAAACAGAAGTCAATATTGAGAACTCAAGAGCATGGTTCTCGCCTGCAGAAAAGGATGTAACATTTCTAAAAACACGGCAGCATCTTCGAAGGACTCATTGACTGGGTATTTCTCAACCGCAAAACGCCCTCTGTACAGGATAACGAATCATTTGCATCCGAGTGTTTGCAGTAGCACTTGTGTGTGGTGTGACATGTGGCTTCACCTGAATCAGCCACTCGAATAGCTACAGAGTCACTGTTTCGGTTCTTATAAGGTTTCCTTGAGGTGGATCGCAATGGAAAGTGTTCTGTGCCATTGAACTTTTCCCTTCAGCGAGAGTTTACCTACTTCATGAGGTTCCTCATATAATTGGAAGTTACACAAAGCGCGGCGAAGAAAGAAGACTCAACACACGAATCAATCAAATAAGGAAAAGCATACCCAGAATAAGGAAGCATAGCACCCATAGATTTTTATCATCGATAAGTCAAATTAGCTGGAGTTACTGTGAACAAGTTGCACGGCTGGGGAGAAGCTGAGAACTGAGGAGGATGACGGTGACTAGGGAACTAAATATGATATGTTAAGAGTACTCAGATGGCTGTTTCGGTTTGTGCATGAGACGGTTATTAAGACACTACGATAATGAATTTCATCTGTTACCCCCACAGCGAAGATATGGGATAAGCATATTTGATTCATACTCCTATACGAGCAACACGATCTAATAAATCGCGAAAAGGATAAAAGAAGTTAACACGAATTCCTTACTCGTAGTATGGGACGAGGTACCAGGATGGATGCTACATAACATGGTATCAAGCGCCCAGCGCTCCTTGGAAAAATGGTCTGGGGAAGATCCCGATAGCTTCGACCCATGAACAAATGGTTGACAACCCAATATGTCCAACAGGCAACCAGCATCTTCTACCCTGGGGCCAAGGAAGTCAAGTGCAACGCGGAATCCCGACTGTTCGGTGGGCCGACCACTATCCGGTCTGGGAAGTTTTCGAATCCACGGGGCTAATCTTCCATAGTGTTGCAACAACCGAATCAATCTGACAGCAAGGCTACCAGATTTCCGACTCGTCCCATGAGATCGCGTCAGGACACCAATGAGGTTGACAAACACACGGTCGATGCTGCTACTGCACAAAGGATACGAGATTGGAAAGTTATCAACAAAACCGAAAAAAATCAGATTACCTATTCGGTGACATGTCAAAAGGCATGAGCCTCGTTAAGGATTCGCCGACACCAACCCACACGAGCTATGGTTCCGATACAACGATTATCGAGCACCTAAAGACGTCTCACTTCCACAGCTCGGACAGGCCAAGTTTCATAGCCCGCACGTCTCTTGATTTCATAGCCCGCACGTCCCTTGAGATTCAGTGATATACCGCTTTGGCGTCATAAATGCCTCAAATTAGCAAACGCGATCCAGGCCTTGCACATTCGTGAATAGGCCTCATCTATCACACTACAATCAGAACTAATACAACTTCCAAGATACATAAAACTATCCACAACCTCCAGTACCTCTCCCTGGATTGTAAGTAGCGTGTTCAGTGTCCACGAGCATGACCTCGCACTTTGTGGGCGCAGAGTATACACCAAAGGACCTCAAACTTAAAAAAAACGTTAAAAGACTTGTAACCAGACTCGACCAAGTAACCATTGGCACCGTGAACAAAGAGAATATATCGGTGATACTCAAGTTGTCCTCCGTTATCTAGTTATCCATTCCATTCCGATAAGAACTGGTCGAGTGGATCAACTATGATTTTGAGAAAACGTGATGGGAGTTCCTTCTCAAGAAGGAATTGACTCTGAGGCGTAAAAGAAAACTGCAAGATACACAAATCAGAATTAGAGAACGAGCCGGCAAGAAATCTTTGAACAATATATGATTGTAACAATCTCGACCACCACATGATTGTGTAAAACGGACAGCTCAAAAGGGTGGGCAAAGAGACATGCGCACTTGCCTATAATATGCAGCTGCATCACTAAAAAGTATCGGTTGACAACCATCAGACAAGTTGGCATTTCTGTTAGTCAGGAGCTCCGGGTCAGACGTCTCACCCACCGCAGTGGTGGTGGCCAGTAACTCTAAAAGATGTAAAATACTGCTGAAAAGTAAGTGCGATCCCTTGGATGAGAACTGCGTTCGATTTCTTTCCACAAGTCCGTCGCTGAGCGTGGATAGAATAGGCAGCAGAGAAAGGAAGGCACGCGGGTGATAGATTACGAGTGATTTGCTAGCCAACCGGGCGGTCTCACGAACTTGGGAGTTTGTGGACGTCATTCCCACCAGGATCAAGGGTCCAAGGCGATCGATCTGTAACGGGAAAGAATGAATTGAGAAATACTGTCAGGTTTTATTATATTACCATCGATCCACGTCCATGCCAAAACCTGGTCCACTGTCATAGTATTACCACACAATTGGGATCGAAGTTCGGTTTCATCGTTATCTTGGCCAAGTGGAGGGCTTGGCCAAACGCAATACGAAGACTGTTCACGGAGCAAATTGCTCATTGAAGGACATTGGTCTTTCATTAGTATACTATTAACCCCAATTGTCGGCATGCATTATTCAGGTTGCCACTTCCAGTCGATTGCAGTTAGGAAAATACACAAGTTCAATGGATGTTATCAGTGGAATCGTCCAATCACAGCACTCGTTTTGGCACGTTACTGTCAGTGACAGGTCTAGCCCACACTTATAACTCACCTTCCCAGCAGGTGTCACTGACTCTATCGTTGCTTTCTCAAATGATTGACGGTATTTTTTTGAAGTAAAAAAAATTGACGGCTATATGTTGAATGTAAAAAAAAATAGTCTTCTCAAGCCACCTTGCTTAATTTTTGTTTACCGTGACAAATGTTGCGTGATCGATTAGTACTACTGGTGACTCCCAACAAGAAAGAAACAGATCAGTTTTCAACGCATATTGAAAGCTTCGAATGATAATACAAATCGGGATAAATGGAAACTGGTTAACTCATTTTTTATCAGGGACATCATAAACTGAGGACAAACCAAATTTAAATGGACTTCAGTCACTAACATTGTGTAGAAAGTTCGAGACATGAAGGTGAGGGCTATAATAACCTCGGGCAGAGTGAGTGGACAATATGTTACATGCTTATTGGGTAGAAATTGTCACCAACAAGCTGTTATTTCCTCACTCCGCGCGGGCCTATGCCGTTTCGGAACTTTGTAACCATCGGCGAGATCCCATTACTTTCACATTTAGGACGTTCCGAGTAAAAATTAAAGGATGATGGAGAGGAGTCTAAAGGTGTCATAGTAGGAATTCAATATGCTCCAGTTATGTGCAATTAATCTCTCCAATAATATTCGACAGCTGACGTGCTTAGGGTCATCTGATTTCTGGCATACTGAAACGAAATTTCACCCGCGACGAGGACAACCATTTCACTTGGGACTCCTAATGCTTACTTGCATTTAGATACTATATGTCAATCATGAGTGATATCATCCAGGCGAAAAAAAAATAAAACAAATCGTTCAGCTGTAGCGCCCTTTCGGTGCCTAGCTGCCATGCCACCCGAAGGGAGCACGAGGGCTGAGATACTGTCAGGTTGCCCAAGCCTAGACAGGGGAAGTCGAGTGGCGGAGGTCGGGTTCGAACCTCCGGTCAGTAAGTTCGTGCTCTAACCACTTGAGCCATCTCGCCCCCAGGCGAAATGAAAAACAGTACCTACTTTGTGAACCCGGACTTGCTGTCAGATGGACTGCGATCAGCTTCAAATGGAAGAAGAAATATGAACAATATCCTCATGGTCATTTGCAAGAACGAAAGCTCGAAACAAAAGAAACACTACACTATCACAATAACAAATTCGAACACCCGAGATGGATTGGTGGAGAGACATTCGTGGTACATAGTGGGAACTCCAGTAGGCGTTACGAACAGCTTACCTCTGGTCTATTCAGAAGCCGATCGGAATCAGAAGTCACTTCCGTAGCAGGAAACGAGACCAAACGTCTGGCACCAGCTGAAGTTAATTGCTGGATAGAACCCGGCCAACGCATGTAAAGGTAAAGCATAAGACGTTGGCTTATCCGCACCAGACTTTGTCCTATGTGCGCATTTCCATCCTTTAGTTTGGAGAACAGATGAATGGATTCCGGTTGGAGATATGGTAGTTGGTTTTGAATGTCCTCAATAGTGAGAAAGTCGGCGTTGTATTCCAGGTAGAGAAAACATTCTTTGGACCATCGAGTGATTGCCAAATCCAATAAAGGGGTCCTTTTTGACAGCAAAAGATCGAGCTGCGTACAAGAAAACAAGGGTAGTCCTAATTAGAAAAACCGACATTTGTCTTGCCGAAAAAATGACATTTTAAGCAAAACAGACCAACGAAGTTAATTGCTGACGGTAAGTTCGTGTATAACACAACCCTATCAGCCACCCTGTTCTAGACACCTATGGTTCCACCTGAACTACAGCACTGTCGTACTGATGTTAGTACGAAACTTCATTAAATAAGGCCTGCTCATCTCTGTATTTAGTGTTTTCTAGGAAGTACTAAAAGGTTTTGTACGAATCAGCTCACTTGGTGCATCTCCAAACGAGTAACGAGTAGCAGACTAGAGGAACCTCTAAGGTATCGATATCAGCAGACTGTAAATACCCAGGAATCAATCACTGATAAACATAAATGGAATCCTGTCCTTCAAACGTGTCTACTCTGTACTGCCGAATACAATGATAATATGAATCCCTAGTGTTCTTGGTGAGTCTTCATCAGAGAACAAATGGTATTGTGCACCACAATTGTTAAGTGTTCGGAAGCGTTTGGTTGACTGACTTGACTGGTTCTGTTATGATTGGTTATTCGAAGCCCTTGACTGCTTTAACTGATGTGCTGACTGAAATAAACTAGCTTTTCTCATAAGATGATATAAATCCGAAGTTTTCTTCGATTACAAGCTTCGGTAGTTGGTTGAATGTTCACAAACCCAATCGCAGTTTCTCGACTTCTCCTGTCTAGGCTTGGGTACTCCGACAGTATCCCGACCCTCGTGCTTCCTTCGGGTAGCATGGCAGCTAGGCACCTGAAGGGTGTTACAGCTTAACGGTTCTTTTGTTTGACCGATTGTTTGTAACTTGTGAAGTGCTGATTCTAGCTCGTATTCTATGTCGCTTGGTACTTCGATGAGAATGGTCACGCATCCGTGAGCGATTTGTTAGGAAGTATAGCCGGAAACTGGGCTATCGGCAGAGCTCAGGTAGGAATAAGTAGTGACGTTTCCAACAGGTCCCTGACGGTCCATCAAGGATAGCACACTTTACGGTCCAATTTAGCCTAGTTGTATCATTGGGAACTGTGACAAGGAAAGATATACATACACAACCTAGCGATAACATCAAAGCTTATCCAGAGAGGACTTCTCACCTCATGAACTGTGGTTTCACAGAGATTTCTACACTCATTTAGTACATGGGACACCAGGCACAGCGCTTCAGACCAAGTAAGCTGGGCCAATTCAGCCAAGGCAGTGGCCGTATCGGGACGACCCCGTGCTTCTGAGCGTGGGACGGAGAATGAGACCCGTGGCAAAGTGAGTGCAGCCTGGATGAAATTCAACAACCGTGTTGAACTGCGGATCAGAAAAAAACAAAGTATACTCGTAGTTTCATCCCGTATTCTATAAGCCGAAAAGTGAACAAAATGACTTACCACTAGGACGGTCTGAAAACTACATAGGCCGAATCATTAGTAGCTAAGAAGGAAGTATAATTCCCACAATAAAAGAAACTTACATCTGAGAATTCGTCACTAGAAACCATGTGATGTGAATTCCGTGACTGAAGAAAGAGTGAAGCTACATCCTTAATGTAAGTTCACCACACTGCTGATCAGTCACTTGCGATCGAACGATAAATCGTTCAAATTACTAGCCTGGAGGTCCCGTGTTCAAAATTCCCTTGGGTTTCGTGGGATACGAACTTCTGGTGAATCCCACTAAGGATGAAACAGATGTATAGTGCTTCTCGGCTTTTCAGCATGGTGGCTTCACTCATAGGACGAAATCTCAATCAAAAATTTTCAAACCTCCTGGAACAACGAAGAAAACTTTAAAAAGTTGGTCCAGATGGCTATTTTCAGTTCAGCGCGGCTGATTGACTTAGGCAATTGGAGGTTATCTCATCCAACGAATCATAACGAAAGGTAAACTGAATACCGAATCGCCACTTGGTTAACTGCGGGTAGGCTTCATGCGGGATGACGAGGTTTCCTGTTGATATTAGACAACGGATTCTTGAAAGAGCCTACAGTGTTGTTTCATGCCCCGCATCAGTATCATCGACAACACAATGCCAGTGCTCAACATGGGGAATCTGGCATTACACAGGAAAAGTTGCAAACAGTTGGATCGATTCTGTGCGGTCCAACCCCAGGAAGGGACTGGATGATACAGAAACCAAGGTGTAATGGCCGAAATGATGAAGAGGTATGCGAACCCGTTGCGGATTTGTGATAGCTTAGGATTAGGTGTGAAAATACGGACTTTTTTTGTCCTTTGTGGGTCAGTGAGCCAATATATATTGCTACGTTCCTATGCAACTGAGTCAAATTATCAATAGCTTTATGAGCCCAACGGATCACCTTCGATTCTGTGCGGTTCAACCCCAGGAAGGGATTGGATGACACAGAAACCAAGGTGTAATGGCCGAAATGATGAAGAGGTGCTATCGTGTTACGCAAAAAGTGACCTACAAATCTGAAACAAACTTACACCGTTTTATCTTCCCTGCTTTTCGACCACAGTTCTTTCCATTCTGGTCGTTAGGGGCGAGCTTTGTTATACAGTCGTGTTTTTATACTTACACCTAATCATACCTCACTTGTGTGTTTTTGGCGATGTACCTCATTAAATGATAGTTGTGGGCAACCGGAGCTCCTACTTAAGACAACAACGGGAACATTGTGGTAGGAACGACTAGAGCATGAGGAAACCATGCAGAGAGCGAAAGTTACAGTGGTTGCCGTAAAACACGCTGGTACATTTGATCTCTAGAACCGATGAAGTTAAACTAAGCCAGACAGTTGTAAAGGCAGCACCAAAAAGGACGCATGAACATGAAAGATGAGTTGGTGGATTAACCTAGTGATGGCACGATAGAATCTGTATAAAGGAAGGTGGGTAATCATTAAGTTCCGTAAGTCAGGAGCAAAACACTTGAACGAACGAAAACCGTTTAAAGTTGAGCCTGCTACAAAGTAAACAACAAAAATAAAGTAAGAAGATTGAGGGCTGACATACTTGGCAGAATTAATATCTTCGTGTTGCAACAGGCGATAAAAGCATTGCCGCAGAAGATCCGGGTTGGCCTGGTTGAGCAGTTCCGTTAACACATAGTCCCCACAGTTGAGATTATGCTGCTCTACCAGTCCAGGAAGAGATTTGAAAACAAATTGTTCCACGTGAACTGGCACATGTGCTATTTCTTGTTGAAGTGACGAGTCAGAAGCGGTTGAGACAGCTGGTAACTCGGACAAGCCGAAGAGGCAAACGGAATCCACGGTAGACGCTTCGGAGAACCTAAGAATAGGTGAATGCGGCGTCAAAGTATGATTAATTGGATTACAGACATTCTGGGAGTCTTGGACAAAATGGAGCTCGCGTGACTCTTGTAACATTTAGTTATGGACGCTCATGGTGTACCACAACGGTTGCACTGCTGATTGCGGATTATTGAAATGTACACACTTAGGAACATTGCTTAATGAGAAACACTAAACCTCACTTTACACATTTGTTACAACAGGAAGAGATCCGCAAATACACAGTTCCCCGAAATGATAATGTTGTCCGTGATGCTGACGACGAAGGTACAAACGATCTCGACTAATCAGGAGGGATCTCAGTAAGTAGTTCATTTGTACAGAAGAAAAAATGGAATTAAATTATGTCAAAATCTAGGTCATGTATGACGGTAAAAGTAAAAAAATACCATGGTAAGGTGGATATGTAATGAAGCAGTCCTAATACTGTTCAGCAATCATGGCTAAACTAACACAGACATACAATCAAGTCCGTCTACATTCCATGCCAAAACAAAAACGCGAGGTAACATGTACAATCCCTGATACTCAGGCAACCACAGCGGTACGGAAAGTAAGTGAGTCTCTGGTACCCCAATGTTCTGACCTATGATGCGATGAAACACTGCGGCAACTTAGTTTATCTGGGTTGATAAAACGTGAGATACCACGTTACATCCGTGGTGAGGATGTTTCGAAACAATAAAGGTGAACGCTTTCCCTTAAATCAGGTAATGTTCAACATAAATGTAGCTATTTGTAGCTGTTTTCAACAGGCTTCGTAGGGACACGAAGTAATCCTTTATTTTTACTATAGTAAACCTTTCAGGTACACAACGAATTAGTGAGCGAGACTTATCCACGTATGCCTCCAGAGTACAAGTGCTTTTAGCTTTTGATGTAAGGGCTACCCCGATTTGCTGTGCTACAAATCGTGATTCGAGTGATATCTACAGAAAAAATACGTGCACGTGGGAGACGGATGCTACGGTAACAACACAAAAGCTCGACAGATTCCTACTAACTACGTGTTACTGGATCAGAGATTCCACCTAGGTTTAATTCTATTAAAATCGTGCGTTATTCGTTCCAACTAGTGTTGCCGTTACCATACCCCGGTCGATCTTATTAGGCCGAGTCAACAGAATCAAATTCTGCTTCTGCTGCGCAAGGGTCACCATTGCTCATGACATCAACCGTTTGAAGCAACGACCAGCTGGTAGATCCAGTGAATATTGTTGGTGACAACGGGTATTATCATTGTGAAGGTTGGTTCTAAGACTAGAAAAGTGATTTCCAGGTTTCCAAGAGGTTGGGTCCTATAATAGAAAATGGCAAACGTTGTCCACCAAACGTCGATTCTCTCGTTGGGAAGTATTTTAGCTCAAATTCATGTATTATTTATAATCGTAGCATAATGAAACCTGAAATAAATATGAGCTTGATAACGATGTGCGAAATGTGTCTCTCAAGATGCACTTGTTATACTAACGCTGCCCGCTTACTTGCCTTACGAAGACAGTAAGTAACCAGTAGATCTAAAATAGCAGCCAAAGTTTCATAACAGCTCAGGGTAACATAATAGTGGATCATCGCGCGGGCGATGAAGGGTAGGTGAAACTCACAGAATCCGTAAACAATCTGCCGAGGGCTTGGTGGTAACCCCACCACAAGTTAACACAGGAGGCGAAAGGGATTTCGTGGGGGTATCTGGAAGGGAACCGGCTGATCGGAAGCTTTGGAACATCCGTGATAACACTTGCCGCAAGTCGACTGTGAGCTTTGTAGGGTCCAGTAGCTCCTCCAGATTGTGCGCAATTTTCATACCTAGAGATTTGGGCTAAACAGAAACGTGTGTAAAAATTTCACTTGAACTGTTGTGCTAAACAGACCCCTCTATTGAAAACCCCGCCTCTTGTATAGTTAAATATTTAGGTGGGAAGATCGCCAACGACGCCGACTGATTACTCTCCCGAGTTTGTTTTGGATGCTAACAACTAATAACAGTAAAGCAGGCGTTGTTAGCGGTAGGAATGATAGAAGTGTGATGTACAATGAAATGAGAAAAGGGTAACATCCGCAGATTGAACTGCAACACTAGCTCGGTCCACCAACTTCTGTCCTTGAGTTAAACTATTTTATTCCTCACTAACACTCAAATCTATGAATCCGGCGCCCTCGCCCATGGACATTTTCTGCATTTTCTTCCATTGATTCCACCATATGGGTTGAGTTTACGCTTACACATCCTCCTTATATGTTTCTCCTTCCCCACATATGTTTCTCTCTCACAACCACCAATCCACCGCTAGGCACTACTACGCTCCACAATAACGCACTGACAATGTCACCTCGATTGGTGATGAAACGTTTGCAATCAAATTGCCCAGCTCAGCGAACAAACCAACGACCACCATGTTTCTCCCCACTCAGCTTGGAAGCTTGTACTACCGATTTCAACCGTCTTGGCTTGATTTGAACTTCCCATGACACAGCCAATATTTTTGTTGAGCTCATCGGTCTCCTCGTTGAGCAATCACTGTGAACAGATAGTCTAGTCCGACATTAATGTGAAAGTTTACATGTTTGACAAATTTAGCGTCCAAAATAGCAAATGGCTTCCGTTTCCTTTCCACACGGCTGAGTTTTTTCCCTCATCCGGTATTTTCGCCGTCTAACCCGAGATCTTGGTGTCTTTCAAAGCACTCATCCAACATATAACGCTGCGACCCCTTCTGTACTATTACATGTTCTTGTCATTATCGGTACTCTTTCCAAACGTTTTCCTCCTCAAAATACACTTTCCTCGTCGTCGTATATTCTGCGGATAATCTTTCGCCGACCAGAATGGCATGCGTCGGTGCTTTAGTAACTATCCTTGAAAGCGTTGTGCTCCTGTTGATTCCTCGGTTATTGCGGGATAATTTACAACTCCCTATCTCACAGCATGAGAAAATCCATCCCTCTTTTCTTCGAAAAAAGATCAGTCCATCCCCAAATGGTCTGACTACGCGCTTCTGTGGGTGGTGAAAAAGGATGCGTTCGTCCCCCCCCCCCGGGATTCCGAAACGTGGTTCCCGTACTGACCGCAACAGCAGCCGGTCCGTTCCTTTTAGCCCAATATCAATCCAAGCTCTAGAAGTATTTTTGAGCACGACGCCCAAGCGATTAGGAAGACAACAACCGTTTAAGTAGAGACAATATGGGTTCATGAGCCATCACTCCATGGGTGATATGTTAGTTGAAGTGGGACACTTTTGGTCTTCCTCTGGGGACACTTTACTGATACGAATATGGTTGTTCACGATATATTGAACGATTAATGCAAGTAAGAATGGATGGCATTACCTGTCAGATGCAAAAGGCAGGTAAAAACTCTCCCAGGACCTGTGTTCTCTTCAACAATGCTCTTTCCTTAAATGAATTATTAATGGTCTACCATTAATTTTTCCGCTCATGCCTTTGCCATCCCTTCGACCACTCCTCCAGGAACTCCACTTCACTTCGACTGCGCGATGACAGGTCATAAGTTACTACTACCCTGAACATCAACCTTACGAGAATCCAAGGCTGTGGCTTGTCGAACTCAGCAGCGTTCAACTCTTCCGAATTCTTCTATTTATGCATCTCTCTTCTTAATTCCACTCCCGACCAAATTTTTTTTAAATTGGATCTGCTGCCATGCACTATTTCTCATCGTCCTTTCTTTTAGGCCTGTTTTTTGCTGGGTATTTATCCTGGTCCTCACATGTCAAAGACTTCGAGGCATGAGTATCTAGGAAGACTGGTTTCATTTTCCGCGCATGCGAACACCTCATCCTTCCATAAAATTTTCCCCTTCTTTAGAATCCTGAAACCATTCAACGCTAGAATGCTGTTGTCATGTATGAAATGGGGCTCCTTCCTCTGCATAGTCTCCCCCGAATCTATTCATTATACAGTTTTACGCCTCACTGATATCCTTTCTTCAACTGATCACACTCTCCGAGACGTAGCGACTCTTATTCTAGCCAGTCGATCATATCGAATGAATACTACACTTTGTAGAACTGCTCCCTTCTCATCTCTCTTACAAACTCTACCACTCTGTGTCTTCCCTATGTGATATAACCTCCAAATATTGAACGTTAATATCCATCTAAACCAACTATAAGGTTTGCGTTACCTCATGTATGACTTTACGTTGCGCTTTCTCTTTAGCTGCGAAAACGGTGGCCAATCGTCAGTCCCGTTTTACCCTGTAATCAAAGTCTGTACGATAAAAAAGACCAAGTACATGGTATGATCGCCTATAGGTGAACTGTAACTACTGGGATTCAGGCTTGGTTCTTTTCAAAGGAATTATCCCAGAAGACTGAAGGAATGTGGATGCTGCGTTCAACGATGACAGTTGCATCGTTATAACTACAATATGCAAACGTCGTTACCGCTATCATAAAGCCAAATCAATTAATGTAGAAGAGAGGAAAGTAATGCAATTCTAACCAGCTTGTACATCGAATCGGCGAGAACGAACGAAACAATACAGTAGCCCGTATTACTGCCCAAAAAAGTCAAGCGGATTCGGTTGCGTTGAGACAAACAGCTTAATATACGGTCGCTGGACGAAATAGATACTATAACGCAAACGATAAAATTCGGGAACCCGGTCCATACAATGAGCCTCAAACAGAACAAAAATGGTGGTGTGTTGTTGGTTAATTGTGATAACCAAGAAAACCCCTCAATATACTGATTACGGCTCAAGTGAGCTCTGAGGACATCTAATTTGAGAAAATCATACACAAGACATCATTCGAAGCTATTTGAATCACGCGTCAACACTGACATGATGATTGTGATAACCAAGAAAACCCCTCAATATACTGATTACGGCTCAAGTGAGCTCTGAGGACATCTAATTTGAGAAAATCATACACAAGACATCATTCGAAGCTATTTGAATCACGCGTCAACACTGACATGATGTACAGATGAATTACAACTGAATTGGTATGGGTTTCGCCAAAGATGGGGCCTACTCAATGTGTACCAAACGGAGACAAAACCGGTGGTGAACTGTCAGCCGATCGATCTAACCACAATTCTGACCAGAAAATAAAACCATAATTAACTCACTTCTNCCTACTCAATGTGTACCAAACGGAGACAAAACCGGTGGTGAACTGTCAGCCGATCGATCTAACCACAATTCTGACCAGAAAATAAAACCATAATTAAACTCACTTCTGGTTCAGCAGTGATGCAGAGGGTAACCAAAGGACGAATAATGTCGATCAAATCCGGATCGGAAGCAAGGGCGTGGAAAAACCGAAGATTCTCATTTACCTGACTCATTGAAGTCGATGGGGGAGATTTTCTCGTATGCATTCGTGGTTTTGAACTCGCACAATTAGCCCAGAGAAATTGAAGCTCCTGTAACCCAAAAAAAATGATGTTGTGGTGGTCACTTATCAGAGAAAAACGTTGACCTCCGACGAAGTAACACAAACTTCCCTAGAAAATGGTACGTCCAGGAAACAAGTGAGCGATTACATGTACGTTGAACACACCGCGGGAAACCCAAGGCTACCAATCATAAAGATGCAATATTATCTATTTCGTCCAATAAATGCACTGGGGTCTGTCCTACTGAAAAATCGTAGCGTCCCTCCAGAAGCACATGTTCCAGTCAAGTACTAAATGGTGTTTCCTCGCCAGATATGTTACCCGTAGGACAAAACTTTGCTCTTCATCCAAGACATAAACTAACAACGTACAATACAACTGTGATGTATCATCTACCACCCCATTACTCCCCCATCATTGGCAAACGAAACCACTGCATCCCGTTTACGGTTAATGAAGATTCAGTACACAAAAGCATACCCTCGATCATCGTTATCAAATATATTATTTTAGTTTTTCTCCCTTACGGTTTGATTCAGCTTAGCAAGCCTATTTTTAGTGATGACACAGGAATCACAAGGCGCATTCGTCAACGATTGACGTTAAATAATGTTTTCAAACGATATGAATGGAGAAATCAACTCACCTGGTAGAGATTTTCAAGCCAAATCTCACGAGTATTTGATTCAGTGGAAATAGTGACCATGAGCTGGCAAAGAAGCGTGAACTGTTGTGAATCTTCCAGCAGTTCTAACGCCGATATAAGATGAGACCAGCAACGACCTGCAGGGAACTTCATAGTTGAGAGGATATCCGGATCGGCAGCAAGTGTTGGACGGACACCAAACAAATCAGTATGCTCGGTTTGACAAGTAGAAGTCGAAAAACCACGGGTTTCATCAACGTCCATCTAGATGAAGAAAATTGGGAAAAAATAATTTTAACTTCAGAGAAAAACACAAGGGCAATTACGAATTAAAAAGTAAGATTGGTTGTTTATGGGGAACGACTGCCTAAGTGGGAGTAGCGCTATATCCGAATTTATGAAGCGCCAATTGGATTATCGCATCCCTCCCAAATTAGGAGTACAGCAAATAAAGTAAAGGTAATTACATCTAAATTTACCTACAGCATGGCGCTAAAACAACAGACAAAGCACATATTAGTAGAGAATCTTTACAGTATCTATTTAAAATGCTCTCATCCCATACCTTATTTGACTGGCGATTACTTATGGTCACCAGTTGTTGGACATAATTCAGCATTTCCTCTCGGTGTGGTCCGCTGGCCTCGTCTAGCCGACTCTGAATTTCAGCAACCAGTAAAGACATCGTACTGGGATGCAGAACAAACACGGGGAGAATCCGAGTTACTTCCAGCAGTTGGTCATCGTCCACAAACCGAAGCGCTGAAAAAAAGGAGCGAAATTCTCGTATGAACCGGCGAATTCTGGTAACAACCTCTTCGGATTATATCAAAATGAGTCCTTACCTGCTGACACGAGAGGCACTTGGTTGGTTTGAATAAGACGACAACGTAGTTCTGTGGAAAGATGTGGGACTGGAGATCCTGTATGACCCACCTGGCATTGAAAACTAAGGTGACATGTCGTGATATCTAAGTCGGTTCCAGTGTACAGGGGCATTGGAAACACGAGCGGTGAGAGTTGTGGCAGACGATATGCACCTGGTTTCTCAGGATCGGGTAAAAACCAAGCATTTTGAAGTCGAAACCAAGAAGCAGTGGATACGCGGTCCACTGTAACATCTTCATCGAACAAATCTTTCATGTCAGAAGACTTCTCAGCTGGTAATTCGGAGTCAATGTGGGTCAAAAGGACCAACTGGGCTTGAATACAGTCAAACTCTAACGGACATTGACGCTCCGGAGACCATGTCACGAATACACTCTGAAGGAGAGGGATACGAGAGTGATGGGAAGTATTCACAAAAATAGGTTAGAGAAACCATATGATGAAGTTGGGTCTAGTCCGATGCAGTTTTTCGTTATAGTTAATCTTCATTATGGTTTCATAGTTCTTTCTTGCAAATAAATGGGGGTAAGCTGAGGTTACCATAACCAACTCGAGCTAGAACAATGCCAACAATGCAAGAATAGCCTAGTTGCACACTACCAAAGTGCGCAGATAAATAAAGGCAAATAAATAAACAGCCATTCATTTTGGAAGTGTACTACGGGTCACTTCTGTTAATCTGTTGAAATTGCGGTGTTAACGAAGTCTGTCGTAGGATAATAATGCCTGTGGATAAAATTGTATGGTGCTTGGTGCTGCGGATAGGCAATAATAGAGCGCTGCAAAAGAAGCGGTACCCAGCCGGATAGGTTCCTTTCTTGGGTAAGATAAACGCGTTTATTTGGACTGGTGAAGTGACGTGGCTATACTACTCACTTGAGACCAACACGCTGAAATTGACAGTCAAACTATTCAGTTTTGTGGTAACAAATCCTCTCTAGCTGACCGTCCTGAAAGCCCCGTTAGTAGAGATGGTGCCATGATCACACATATAAAACAATAGTGACATGGCTAACCGCAAGTTCTGTGTAACTTCTCTTCAAAAAACACCGAATGTTTATTTTTTTAATGCAGCCCCTTTTTCTTGAGCAGTCGGTTGCCTACTTTTTCACTAAGCATCACAGCGTGAATAGAATCGAGGGTGTGGAGCTAGCGAGCGTATGGAAAGCCGTCTTAGATAAGCCGAGTTGACACGTGACGGTGTGGCTGTCAATCCACTTAGGACCACTTAGGACCAAAGGTCACAGCATCCCTCCTACACAACTTCCTTAGCACTGGCTCACCCACACAGACTAACAGAAGGTTCAAACGAAGTTCAAGAGGAACCATCAAATGAACCGAACCAGAAGAACTAGATCCTAAGCAGGACCCAAACACATGTAGGTTTCCCCACCGACCCAACACTTGTTCAACCACTCTAACACACTAAAATCCCTCGGCCGACACCCAACAGAGATTTAGCTCGACTTCGCTGATTGGTTCTCCTTCCGCCTTAAATCTCGATCAACCTCGGAACCTAGTCACTTGGCCTGACGAAGCTTTTGTGTCAAAAGCGAAACGTTGCCCAGCAATAAATCTACCGATTGTCACCAAACTTTTTCGAAAACGTTAGACATAGGTCATATACAAAACAGATCAAGCGCCCGGGTTAAATGAACGTCCAACTAATACTTGTTCGCTTGATAGCAATCTGAAAAAACGTAACCGCTAACTCATTGGCACAGTTAACCCATGGACAGCATGCGCTTGATCATATTGCCAACACTACGAGGTCGGAGAAGCGAGTGTTCCAGATCTGTGCGTTGATATTCCCATCGAAACAGTGGCTGCCTTAATGAGCAAAAATGGTCTGTTGGAGAGCGGCAAGGTTTACCCCAGTATCTAAGAAAGGTGCATCAAAGTATCGAGCAACTATCTAGTGTTTCCAGATAGCCCATTGGTCAATTTAAAGACTGGAAGGTCTACGATTGGAATTCAACTGCTCCTTTCTGGACTTAGGCAACCAGGCAGGATCTCAGCCACAATGCTTCCTTCGGGTGACATAGCCCTAGGCACCGACGGGTTTACAGCTGAACGGTTAATTGTACTGCATTGCTGTAGTTCCGCAATTTTGTAACGTTTGAGGTGTTGAGGACCCTTCAGAAGGACTAGGTCGGCTGCTTAAAGACTACTTCACAAGCTTGACTCAATTTAAAGGCGTTTTCCAGGATTCCATTTTTTCCGTTCTACTTTTGTTAGTAGCGTACATGAGCCCGAATTTTTTCATCCACTCCACGCCTATACATGCAACCAAAGGAGAACTAATGTGGATTTATAGGCATTGTGGTGTCCTAACTCCTATGATGCCTGGTTCGCTGCTCCGCCCACTATGATACATCAGAGGTCATGGCAACTAGGAACAGTCTATAATGGTGACAGAGCAAACCAGTTACATCCGTAACAAGCACAGAATTGTAGGCAAGGTAACTCCGGAATATACGTGATGGAACAGGAAGTGTCATGCAGAAATTCTCGGTCCCAACTGGTGAGCATTCCGACCAATCAGCACGCGTCCGTTTCTGGTACATAGCCATATACTGCCCAGCGGATGAGATGTTGCGTGAATCTGAACAACCTGCCCCTGAACAACAGAGCTAACTTGATGTACACACGATTTTCAACAGCTTTCAGACACTCACGTTTCTGAAGTTTCAATACGTAGATTCCACCATTTAAAGAAGACTGTACAACTACCACCTCAGCAACATGCCTCACCTCACTGCGAATAAGATTTACATTCTAAGATGCCTATACGACAAACTAATAGGGACTAGCCAATTCCAGTGATCTTAGACGACCAACAAATGTTGGGTCCAGTTTCAACAAAGTCACAACTCGAGTTCAAAATGCTGATGTTACCATACGAAATCACATCAAGGTTTGTTGCCTCATCTGCACTTCCACATTACATTTACTTTCCCTCTGTTTTGTTATACGGATTACTTGAGAAAGATCTTTGACAGGCTATATGACCCTTGAAGGAGCTTCCCAAATGCAATGAAATAGCATTGGATTCATTTGTCAACTCTGTGGAATATAGACACAACATATTACAACTTAACTCTGACGTTCCTGTCGGATGCTCATCCAACAGCGAGTATCATTTCGACTTCTAGCATCAGCGACACAATTTTAAATAACTGCGCTGAAATCAGCTAAACTCCACACCTGGTTAATACTACCCAGACAGAACATAATGCTTTTCGATGAACAGTAGTCATAAAACTTGTAGGAAATAAAATAATCGTTCAATTAGAAAAACCTTCCAGTGACTAGCTGGCATACCCCCCGAAGGGAACCAGGTTGCCCGAGCCTAGACAGAAGTCCAGATGCAGAGGCCGGGTTCGTACTAAGGAGCCTCGGGTCGGTAGACTCGCGTTTTAACCACTGAGCCATCTGGATCCTCTTGAAGAAAATGACACTCCAATATTTCGGATATCGTACAAACTGAAAATGAGACCACTTTCTGCATCATAGTAGAATATCACGGATCAGAGATTAAGGTAAATTAGTTTGAAGTTGAGTGTATACCACTAAAAGCCTCTTTCCGCCCCATGTCCCTGTTTTCTTTCTATGATGTGGTCATATTCGCTGAAAATTTACCTTCGAGTGCTTACAAAACCCGTCTTAATATGAACTGACTTGGAAATGAACCTACATGCCGGAGCCCAATAGTACATGGAAGCGCCCAAACAGACACGGGAGCTAGACAGAGATGACGGAATGCCAAAGTTAAACGTGAGCACATCAACTGAATTGGCACCACAAACTGAGCACCCAAGGGAAATGCACAGCGATTTCTGGCCTAGAATATCCTCTGGGATCGGAACTCCCTCTCCCAGATAAGGCGTATATTCTCGATGGTTAATGGGTAGGAAAAAAGCAGAACACCAGTGGAAAGTAGCACATCATCTAGAAGAGTGACGGCGTACCAAACCTTGCAAAAACTGAGGTATGCTATCTGAGAGGAAAGCAGTCTGGTGGCTTCAGGCATTTCGGCTCTACTGTCACTGCAGGATGGAAGGGAATAGTCGCACAATCGATGCATTCGTTCCACTGTCTTTACAGAGGAAACCGCCGTAACGTTTGAAGCATGACTCGGAGGTCTATGATAAGCTTCCGAAAACGCAGCTGGGGTGAAGTACGAGAGCATCATCCACTGTCTAGTTATTACAGGTCTGTACTAAACTGGTCACAAAGTCGGAATACTCACCTTGTTCTCATCAACAGGAATAGCTTCAGCTGCCGTACAGTTGTATTCTAAATACCGAACAAACACATCCGCCAAGGACTCAAACCCGGCATAAGCTGTGAGGATCGAAGATGATGAATCGACGGTAATTTTGGACTGACGGTGCAACAGCGCGGATAAAATGGTTGGTCGTCTGAGGACGAAACTGGTCAGGCCAGTAATGACTGGGCGCCAAGACTGAAAGGTTGACAATACGAAAGGCTATGGTGTAGCGGGTTGAAAGTATGGGTTATGCGGTGGCGGAAAACTAAGTCTTCGGGCAGGATGACCTGAAGTACACCAGAAAGAATGTTCTTTTTAGGAGTGGGGTTCAGACTGGTACTCTACAAAAGGTAGGACGTTCCTTGACCAAAAAGACATGTAGTTAGTGACAAAAATTGTGCACGCTGTAGAAACATCAAAGGAGTAGACCCACATGCCTCTCCTTGGGATGCGTAGGCATTGATCAAATGTTTATGCGCACGCTGGCACCCAGTCCAAGGGGACGGAAACACAACACGCTAGCCACCAAATCTACTGCGAAGCAGCTACTGGAGCAACAATGAAAAGAAGAGGATCTCAAAGCTTTGTCATAAACAACCGATAACACAAGCCTGTGTTCCTTTCCTTGAAGCCACTCATATATATGCAGATCGTGCTGCTAGAAAGGTCATACGCTTGACTTGTACAATTTTGACCTCATTACTCGAGGATAAAAAAGTGAAAATGAGAATAGCGGTTTCTAGCTTGGATCTTGTTGGGAAAAGGTTACCTAACCTTTCTATTGCAACCAAGTTATGGATGGAAGGCCAGAGCATATAGGCAGATACCAAGGCCTGTCTTACGGTTGAGATCTTACTTTCATGTTGTCGTTCAATCGGCGTTACGTTCATTGGTACAATAAATTGTGGAATTTTTGGACAGCACCGGTTTTCCTGTGATTTACCTTATGCCTACCTTCTCTCCTCACCTCTGTCACCTGCTGCACGTAGCATGCAGATGTTAGGGATTGCCTCTCGTGATAGTCACTTAAAGACAGATGGAACCTGGAATGTGGACCATTCACCAGAGAATAGGTAATTTCCCAACTGTCGTCAACTTAATTTCTCTGAACCAGTGTTGTCCAAGTTAGCAAACCATACATAAGGAAGGTGAGGAAGTTTGATGCCTCTCTACTTTTATTTTTCACAATTGCTTCATTGTCCCATCTTGGAAACCGAGCGACTTATGTGTGGGTAGGTTACCTGGTAACCTAATTCTAAGCGTGTTGACAGAATATGTCAGTTGTTAAAAAAAAGCGACCGAATGAAAGTGCACTAGAGTGCACACGATAGTGCTGGTAAGAGCTGGAACAAGTTATGTGTAGTCTTTTGGAAAAACGGCAACACCGAAAGAAGGGCTGATTGGCCGATGTTCCGATCAGTGGGCTTGGTAATCCGATTATAGGTGTTTCGTCAGGTGAAATCAGTAGTGTATAGTAGATTTGCGCGGTGTTGTCTAGCAGAGCGCCGGTGTGAAGATTTCGGCACGTGAAAATACAGAGGATTGCGCTACAAACTCAATAAAGCGATACATGGCAATCAAACCAATCTACGCATAACTACGACAATAGATCGTCATATTAGTCGGACAACTCAAAGCGAACCAACAGATAGACTGGCAGACTAGCAGTCAAAATAGCGACTACGGAATCGGCACAACACGAGTCAAAGGGTCGCACAGACTGGCATTATTTGGATGTCAACGAACCGACGAGTCAACCAACAGTACAGGCAAGCCAAATGATCAATCACGGACGGACGCACCCCAAAGCCAAAAGAGATGTGTACAAACACAAACACGAACACGGCGCTGCTCATTGTCTTCTAACGAATCCGCCGTTAAACAACGACAAAAAGCTAATCTAACGAACACCTCGATTGTCGACAAAATGTTTGCGAAAAAACTGCAAAGCAAAGCGACGCTAAAACCACTTATCCATGCAATCTGGGCTACCAACATTTTCCTCAATCGCTAAGGGCGAATGAGCGAACTAAGGACAGTACTCAACTGACAACGAAAACTGAATTCTCCAACCGTGCTGTGGAATCTTTGTGCCTTCCTGGCAAAGATCTACGTGATTTTCCTCGCCTGTGCCTGCAGGCCTCGTGAGGCATGGCACATAATCGATCATTGTGGCGAGTATTGCGTCAGTGAAAGATGCTAGATCGACCTCAGTGATGCTCAGGTATCTTGAACTGCTGGGAAGTGAACACATACATTGAACTTCGTTGCTTCCTCTTGGGGCATAAGTACCCTGCGCGGCTTTCCGCTATTGGTTGAGACAATCGCTCATCATGGTTTTACTGCAAGTGGGCGTCAGTATGATACGAGGATGATAATGATGACCGTAAGAAAAAGGGCGGGCAGGAGGAAGTTACGGACTCAACGACACTGCATGTATATGCAGACGACTGAGCCAGGCCTGTCGGTCTCACCATAGATACTAGTTTTCCTGTACGGAGGTTTACAACCGGAGAGATGAGCGCGCAAGTCCAGCGAGCGTTCAGCTGTAGCACCCTTTCGGTGCCTAGCTGCCATGCCACCAGAAGGAAGCACGAGGGCTGGGATACTGCCAGGTTGCCCAAGCCTAGACAGGGGAAGTCGAGAGGCGGAGGTCGGATTCGAACCGCGAACCTTCTGGTTAGGAAACTCGCGCTCTAACCACTTGGGCCATCTCGCAAGTCCAGCGAAGTCAAGATGAGACTGCCATCAAGCTTGCAGAGCTAACACTAACGTTTTTTGCCTACTCATAATCTGTTTGCTGATGCTTCCTTTCCATCTCCGGGATACGAGTTACCTGACTCCAACTGTGCACGTTATCGAGCGGGCAAGTTGTTTCTCAAGATAACTACACAAGATCCCTCAGTGTTACTCAACAGATGTTTTCATGGAACCTGGATAACGAATTGGTCAAGATAGGAGAAAATTGAAAAATCGAATGACCGCATGCCGTTATTCTACCGCAAAGGCATAGAACTAGTCCCCATAAACAAACAGATACAACTTCACATGCATTAAGAAAGAGCTACGTCAACAGTTCCTGAGAGTGGCCCAGGACTATCGGCAGTTAAGATAAGGCGGTGTAGAGGACCTAGTAAACTTACGATAAATCCAGTGTCATTCGTTAGTTGACTGAGGAAGATTAGGTAGGCTGTAACAATGTCTAAATCAGTCTCAACCAAAAGTGATGCCAAAATAGCAGATAGGAAATGCTGGAAAGCCTCCACTGAGTTATCACGTCCAGGGATTTCTATATTCAGATCGTTGCGAAAAACTGGAAGAGTCTTCAAACACTGGAGGACCTGTAGCCACGAACAAACAGGATGCTGAGGCTGTGAGGTTTGACTCTGAGACGTTGGTCCAGTAAGCCGATGAAGACACTAAAAGTAAAATTAGAGATCGAGTCAAAGTCCACTGTGCAGTACAACTGATAAGAACACACACACGACGTGTATAAAAATACCACGGTATTTTTAAAACTCAACTCTAGCTAGTCGATCACTACAACCTAGTTACTGTTATCAACCTTCTCAAACGTTCAGACAGCAAGACTGATAGCCCAATTGACCATTGACCAAAGTTGGACTCTGCAGTAGTCCTTTGTAGGCTGGGCTAGCACAATCATATCGAATGACCACACACAGAGATCCCATCCAAGGGACTTCCAAATGTTGACCGCCCTGAAAGGATTACGTGTTCCGTCTAACAACGGTTTTGTTGGATAGATGGGAAAGGCTCAACCAGCACAATAGACCGGAAAATTGCGGGAATTTCAAACCAGTACACCCAAACAGAAATAATAACTTTCCCAGGAAACACTGAGTAGGTTGGTAGTTGATGTCGAGTTAAAGCAAACAAAAATACTAGGTGCCAACCCGGTTTAAGGATCCGAATTGACTTGATTCGATGTTCGATTGCAACTGTGCAACCGATCAGCATACTAGACTATAAGGTGAGAGGAAATCACCCTGTTTTTCTATAAGATTTGATGGAGAATTGACAAACGACCAATTTGTCGATGTCCATACGTCCAGGACTTCGTGCTTAACATACAAAATTCATGCACTTTGCGTGTTGAGGAAATGTGAGGACTAGATGGACAGCACTGATAAAAGTGATACAACGAATGAGAGAAAGTAACAGACTCCAGTCGGACTAAAGAAAGGTCCCAAAGCAAGAGACATAGACGGAGGATATACCGGTTCCTCTGCTAGGTTTACTGTCACTTTTCACAGGGCCTTTCAAGCCACTGCGAACGGTGCGCATCCCATAAATCGTATTAACATATCAGAACCGGATCGAAGTAGGTCTCTGATATCCAGCAATGTGTAACGTTTGGACCGTTGGGCGCGATACCTCGGAGAACAAATTGGTTGACCACCTGCTCCCTTTGATCCGGACTATCGGAATTTGACAGAAAGTTGGACTGCGAATGTGGCGGCATGCGATACATTGATCAGTGAGAATCAAGCGATATTCCGATCGGGTTGAGGCTTATCAACCACACAGCCATACTTCGTCAGGGGTTAGAGCAACCTCTCGTGTGCAGACGACCCAGAATACTGGTGTTCTTTGACTCATAGGACGTATTCTATTCTATCCACCATTCATCGCCCTGACCATATTTGCTCACCAGAGGATGTCCCAGTCCACATATTCACACACTTCTGAATGTTGGAGTGGAGAGTGGGCCCTTCAGGAACTTCCCTACAAAATACGTGTCCCTCAAGGGTATCCACTCTCCCCAATGCTGTTTAACGCCATAAAAGAGAGATCAAACTGGGCTCCAAGTGAGTCCCCATTAAGACCAAATTGTTATGCAAATGGGTGCATAAGTCTAATTTCGTGCTATTTGGGTAGAATAAAAGGTTGACGGAAACTCGAGAAATGCGCCTATTGACGGCCCCAAGAGGGTCAAAACCGTCGTGGGCTGTCGAAGAGCTTGGACAACCTTGTGATCAGTGTATTACGTCCATACGATGTATCGCGATATCTCGAATAGCGTACCAACTGAAATGTGAGCCGGTCTAGTGCAGCACATTCAGCTGAGAACATCATAAATGAAAGTGAGTCTTCCGTCAAAACTAAAAGGAGGACTCCCAAATTCTCTGTGGTCTTAAACGATCTCCATCCACAAACGACATACAATGAATAAACGACCTTCTGGCTCTCAGTTTGAGTTCACAACAAAGGAACCATAAATAGTGGTTAGTTGGCTCACCACTATCTTCTCTCGATTTTTTCGGTCGTGTCCAATGGATACACAAACCTCCAGAACTAAAACCTTGACCCACCTTTAATCCACCTTTGATCCACCTTTAATTATTAATAATAATAATTTCACTGATTCTGTTTCAAGGGTGGGTTTGCTGACTTTCCAGGTCGTGAGGATGGCATTCCGAAGATCCTGGATCTTTACCTCACCACCAAACTTACTACCTGCATCTCTCCGTCCCCCTAGGATCTTCAGCCAATACCTTGATTACGCCCCTTCTGGACGTGGTTTCTAACGGCAATTTTTATCCTATTCCCGGGGCATGCGGGCTTCACAATGATGCATGAACACACTCTGAAATTCACGCAGGGTCACATCAACGCACCTGTTCAATGCTTATAAGTGTTCCGGTCAGAAACATCTGCGGTTACCACTAGGGTGGTTGAGGTGACTAATTATCTCCAATAGTTGGAAAGAGATGTTATGCACCTTTCGTCTCCAGCTGTCGCGCTAAAAATACGACACCGGAATTCATCGACTACTGGTTTATTCAGCAGTCAGTCATAACAGAAAACCAGTGATGAGAGAAAAACAAAAGAATAGGAAAAATTACACTACTATTTGAAACCTGCTATGTGGAGGACGAACAAACATCCTACACACAGTAGAGGTTATCCATTCTTAATTTATTTTACTGTGGCTATCGGCTATGAGAGGATGAGTCGGTCTCTTAGATACCTTGAGTCACAGCTTTCCAAGAGCAAAAGTTTAAGAGTGAGTAGGAAGATTAGTGCAAATGGGAGGAGTTACTTAATCGGTGAGTAGGCTGTGGTAAATGCAGCATACAAACTGGTTGCGCTGGGCCAATATTCAGAATCAAAGACATTATGAAGTGGGTAATTCATTTGCACACGTCGCTTTTTAACCAATCTCAACACGACACGAGTACTCAACTAATGTGTATTTTGTTTGTTCACCTGGAGTAACGAAGAAGAGCACCACAGAAGATTGGTGTCGCACTACGGGTGGGGGCGACAAGCGTACTTCGCTAATACTCAAAACTGCAATACCTCAAGTGACCTGATTTGCATCAGCCAACATTTACAAATCATTGAAAAATCACTTTGGACAGTTGTGCCCCGATAAACATAATCATCTGTTGTGGGATAGGATGTTATATCACTACTCTATGATTTGACTTCAAACTTTCTTCAAAACTTCTTTCTAGTCGCCAACAACAAGTTGCCCAATTTTATGAACTGATCTAAAGCCTTTATAATCGGATCCTCTCGAAAATTATCCACATATCACATGAAATAGATTTGTTAAGAACGGGCGTATTTTTCTGTATACTTAGGGGTGCTACATGACCCCATCTTTTTGGGTGCTGCGGTTTAGTTGCCGATTTGAAAGAAGGACTTGTTGTGAGTCGAATTCGTCATACCGGAAGCCTCAGTGGTAGATGCTATTTTGTTAAAATGACGGAGGCCGTAATAACAAGAGGGAACTACGTGTCCAAAACGCCGACTTACTTGTCGAACTGCCCAGCGAACCCTGTACCGTAGATCACTGAGGCGAGTAAAAAAGCAGTGGACCAGAGCATCTGAGGTAGACACGTTGGCGAAGGTACGGATCTCTTCGCGAAGTCTGCAAATAAGCTGCATATTACGCTGAGACTGATTGCGAATGGCGTTAGAACCAACAGTGTTGCGCCCTGATGACTCGAATCGATCTACGGAAAAAAATACAAGAAAGTTTTCAGGAGTGTACGTGGAACGGACACGAGTCTCAAGAAGGATATAATATTGGAAGTAAATATTATCAACGGAGGTGCATGACGTCATCTGAGCGTAAGATCCTTACCAGCATCTGATTTTTTTCTAGCACGTAGACAGAAGGGTCAGTAACCAACAGGACAACTGTTCAGGCAAACATATTTCAGGTGTTCAAGCAAATGTTGCGACAATCACCTGGGAATCGTGAGATGTGCACTGCTGAAGGTTACCAACAATGGAGCTAACGTATAGGCATTGTCGGATTCTATGCGAAGGTTGGTCTTACTTGCCATGACATACTCCGATATTGAATACCGAACAACTAACTCACAAGCCCAGTGTCCTCCGCCGACTTCGTTTACCTAACGAGAGAAGGGTCAGTAACCAACAGGACAACTGTTCAGGCAAACATATTTCAGGTGTTCAAGCAAATGTTGCGACAATCACCTGGGAATCGTGAGATGTGCACTGCTGAAGGTTACCAACAATGGAGCTAACGTATAGGCATTGTCGGATTCTATGCGAAGGTTGGTCTTACTTGCCATGACATACTCCGATATTGAATACCGAACAACTAACTCACAAGCCCAGTGTCCTCCGCCGACTTCGTTTAACCTAACGAGGACACAAATACTATGCTAAAATAACGTTAGGATAGCTATCAACGAATTCGCTGTGGCATTTTCACCCGCTCACCCTTACCCAGTGGAACTGACAGATATTTGACTTTTCTAGAAAGACAAAAATCCACTGTGCTGTGCAGAAGGGATGGGTTCCTACACTTCAAAATTCCTAGAAAAGGTTCTACAGCTTACGTTTTGAAGAACGAGATATAAATAGGAAACAAAAAAAACAAGCACAAGCTATAAACAAAGTTTCACTGTCATCTATGACACTTGTATTAAGCTTTCATCAAATGTTCTGATTAGATGAATTCCTTCGCGATCCATGCAAATAAAAGGAATTCGTTGTTATTTTGTACAGGAACTGTGAAAGAAAACTGAGAACGAAGAGCAGGTGATATAAATGGAGCTCGGATCAAAAGAACAATCGATCTAATCGAACCTGGATGTCCGGATTCATCCACCAACAAAGGAATGAACTCTTCCTGCACGATATCTAGATTTCTAAGAGTATCGTACAGCAGATATTCACAAAGACACTGAACGGGAAGCAGTTCGAATTCAGGTCCACTCGATTCCACCAATCGCATGAGCCAGGGTTGCGCAGAAACACAGGTCAGTGCTGGTTAGATAGGGGAATTGAGAGGGGAAAACATGGCAAGTGAAAGAATTGTTGGATGAAACTGTCTGCCGAAAATGAAACATCAAAGCTGGTACACTCGGAAAACTGAGGTAAGTATGGCACATTGATGTCATACCGATTTAGTCCAAGAGAGTAACCCACAGTATAAGACCTACTAGATCGACCTATGACAAACCAATGCACTGCATAACAGAATAGTTAAAATGAACCAAGCGAGAATGTCCGGTTGAGCTACGATCCACCTCTCGGTAATCGATAATAACCAAACTAAGCACACGGTTGGCGAAAGCGAAGTCGTCAACAAGAGTACCCTAGGATGAAAAATGGAATGTCAAGCGGATGTGGCGCACTTTGGACATTACCAAAATCCTATTGGTGACGTGACTTATGAGGAAAATATGGACAAAGTACAACTAAGAAGGAACTTTTCAATGGGGATCTTTCCACAAAGGGAAATAACATACCCACTCAGTGACGGCTACGTTAGAGACCACCACAAAAGATCCACGTTGTGGCCCTCAACCACGTGCCAGAATCAACAGATCAACAAAATATGATAAAAACTAATAACACCATATAGCTTCCAACCAGTAATCCGCCCGAAAGGAATATACAATAAAACACGAATAAGGTCAAAACATAAGGTCAACTTTACATTGATTGCGGAGTAATTCGAGCAGAAAATCTGGGTGCCGGCATCGCCAAAGTCGCCGGCTAAGTTCAAGTTTTCCAGCCAAAAATTGAAAATTCTCCAGCACATCAGGAGGCGGTAGACGACAAGGCCCGCGGGGATTGTTATGCACTAGTCGACCCACGAGTTTGGATGTGTCCGGCGTGACAACGACCGGTGTGAAAGGAGCGTTACCGGCGTTATCCGGAGGATTTAACAACATTGTTTCTAATCGTATTATCAACTGTAGTTCCAGTTCAGCGTTCTGTAAAAGATAATCGGAAAAGTGCCCAATAGAAAGTGCTAGCAAACACTGCTTGAGAGAAAACCTCCTAGGACTGGCCATCTTATAATAAACAGATCTTCAAATCAGTGCAACTTTATAGCTGTCCTCAGTAATGACCAACCATAAGGAACGATCCAATATGTACTTATTTTTGAGGCGACTTGATCGACCATATACTTAGCAATGATAATAACGCGAATCTTAACCTAGCTCATAAAATAAGGGATTATCAGAACTAAGACGACACTATAGTTCACATTTTTCTCCCAAAAAAAACATGAATGAATCAGCAGTGAATTCAGGTTCGGGCGATATCACCGCGTAACACACTGCTGAAAACAGCGGGAGACGCATCTTAAGACAGCATGTGATAATGCGGGACTGCCAGTTTGATTTCTGAGTGAGGGTGAGTGAACTTAATTAAAAAAGCTTCTTGTACCAGCGACACTGAAACTTTGGCTTCACGGCTCAATGGTAATCGCAGTGAGCAGTGAAGACGGAGTAGAATTATCGTTTGTACCACGTAAACCGGTGAGTTATCCGATGATTCACGATGTACCAATCGAGCACTTTTGGTATAGATGTTGGCTTGCATTCTGTTGTATCGTGGGTGGTTGTCTGTTGGTTACGCCTGCACTGAACATGCCAGACTATGCGATAAGGAGAGGACAGGGAACCCCGGACACGGCTGTATTGTCAGTAAAAGCATACAGAGCTTCTGCGTAAATATATATAGGATGACTACAGGGCCAAATATGGCCGTTCACTTGTTCGTTCTGTACAGTCAATGGCGGTGTTTCGGTCGTGAACAATTTAAGCCCCACTCCACTGGTCTTGCTAAGCCGTGTTTGGTGAGCTCCGCCGACGCACCTGCTACCGAAACGTGTCGTACAGATGATGACCTTGGGGATGCACCACTTTCTGCACATGTTCATTTTTCATGTATGGGCGCGTACTGACACATTCCATACTCTCGGTATACGTCCTCCCTGGCTCGCATTCCACGAACGAAACAGAAAGTGCCTTGGGTGTCAACAAGTACGCCAGCAATACTCAGATATGAGGGAGGTATGCGGACGTATTTTCTCTGCTACAAAGGGACTGAACTTTGTCGCGATACGGCGGTTTGCGTAACCCTGTGACCCATTGAGCTATACTGGGGGTTTCACTTTGATATCCACAGAGCTTCTGATACCAGGTATGTACACGGATAAACGTTTGACGAACACAGTCTCCTGCATTTACTCTTTATGGCTGGACCATGCTCTTTAAAAATAAACAATAGTGTTAGTGTAGCGGCGAATACTACTGAAGGGGTATGCGAGTAATATGTGGTTTACTCGTAACTCCGCCTCGCGTCCAATGGAAGGTGGAGTTTATCACGGAACTCGTGGAACTGCTGTGCAGCGCTCGTTTACAATTGCGTGACAGTCAATGAATATCTACGAAAGTTCAGTTAGACGCGTGAAAATGGCCATTTTTTGAAAACAAGGTGCATATGGGACGTTTACGTTACACTCCAATAGTTTGTAAGTGTTTGGTTGATGTTTACTAATAAACTACTCCGAAGCGAAGGCTTTTCCTCGTTACAGTAATGGTAGCAGTATGCTAGCACCCATGAATCAGCATTGAATTCAGGATCGGTCGATATCACCGCGTAACACACTGCTGTAAACAGCGTGGGACGCATCTTAAGACAGCATGTGATAATGCGGGACTGCCAGTTTGATTTCTGAGTGAGGGTGAGTGAACTTAATTAAAAAAGCTTCTTGTACCAGCGACACTGAAACTTTGGCTTCACGGCTCAATGGTAATCGCAGTGAGCAGTGAAGACGGAGTAGAATTATCGTTTGTACCACGTAAACCGGTGAGTTATCCGATGATTCACGATGTACCAATCGAGCACTTTTGGTATAGATGTTGGCTTGCATTCTGTTGTATCGTGGGTGGTTGTCTGTTGGTTACGCCTGCACTGAACATGCCAGACTATGCGATAAGGAGAGGACAGGGAACCCCGGACACGGCTGTATTGTCAGTAAAAGCATACAGAGCTTCTGCGTAAATATATATAGGATGACTACAGGGCCAAATATGGCCGTTCACTTGTTCGTTCTGTACAGTCAATGGCGGTGTTTCGGTCGTGAACAATTTAAGCCCCACTCCACTGGTCTTGCTAAGCCGTGTTTGGTGAGCTCCGCCGACGCACCTGCTACCGAAACGTGTCGTACAGATGATGACCTTGGGGATGCACCACTTTCTGCACATGTTCATTTTTCATGTATGGGCGCGTACTGACACATTCCATACTCTCGGTATACGTCCTCCCTGGCTCGCATTCCACGAACGAAACAGAAAGTGCCTTGGGTGTCAACAAGTACGCCAGCAATACTCAGATATGAGGGAGGTATGCGGACGTATTTTCTCTGCTACAAAGGGACTGAACTTTGTCGCGATACGGCGGTTTGCGTAACCCTGTGACCCATTGAGCTATACTGGGGGTTTCACTTTGATATCCACAGAGCTTCTGATACCAGGTATGTACACGGATAAACGTTTGACGAACACAGTCTCCTGCATTTACTCTTTATGGCTGGACCATGCTCTTCAAAAATAAACAATAGTATTAGTGTAGCGGCGAATACTACTGAAGGGGTATGCGAGTAATATGTGGTTTACTCGTAACTCCGCCTCGCGTCCAATGGAAGGTGGAGTTTATCACGGAACTCGTGGAACTGCTGTGCAGCGCTCGTTTACAATTGCGTGACAGTCAATGAATATCTACGAAAGTTCAGTTAGACGCGTGAAAATGGCCATTTTTTGAAAACAAGGTGCATATGGGACGTTTACGTTACACTCCAATAGTTTGTAAGTGTTTGGTTGATGTTTACTAATAAACTACTCCGAAGCGAAGGCTTTTCCTCGTTACAGTAATGGTAGCAGTATGCTAGCACCCACTCGGTGCTTCGTGGACCGTGATTGTCTCGTTGACTAGGTGTAGGCGACCTGTCAGTATCCTAGTACAATCATGAACCTCAAACAAAGATACTGGTGTCATCAGCGGCAGACACCGGTGACAAGACAGCTCATTTAGCGCTACTGAGACCCATATGGGCGGTTTGGACAGAAGACACACGGAAAACGGAGAACGCCTACCCATATGTATGTCAACCACAGAGTGTGCCTTTGTAGTGCCAATTTCTGGAAAAGTGGGGAATGCTTAACTAAGTGATGCTCAACACAGAACCAACCCCGAAGACGAATAAAGCACATAACCGTTAGTTAACAGTAGCGAGTCGCTCACTACCCGTCGCCATTCTCGGGATTTCCGCGTCAATTCCGATCATGTAATTGTCCGTTTCTCTTGTCCAAAACCTAATACCAACGTCTCCGTGCTGCGAATTAACGAACACCGGAGACTTAATGAGGAAATGTTTAGCTCCGGTACGATTTAGACACGGAACGTTCCCTAGGGTAGTGACAGATGCGTAGAACGCAGCCCATCGTTCGATGGGTGCGGACGGCGTGTAGCAGAAGGCCTGTGAGCGAAGATACATTACGATGGCTGTGTACACGAACTCCTGCGAGCACGTACGAGTATGCGGCAAGCTTTCACCAGAGTTCACCAGGTCCAACAGTGCAAGACAAAGCTGCCCACTCTCACCTTTACTCTTCAACTTGATGTTCTTCTTGAAACTTCTCTGCTTGCCTCTGAAACCTCTGGGGTTGAATGGCTCCCGGAAGGTTCATTCACAGACATTGAGTATACAGACGACATTGTTCTGGGTGGGACCAAGTGGGGTCCAAGCCAAAACTCATGCTTACAGAAAAAGTGACCAACGTAGTAGATAAACTCGTTCGACTGGATAACTGTATAAGTTCCGGTAGATTGGCTGGAAATGAGATTACTTGTCGAATCGGGAAATACAGAGCAGCTTTCGCCAAACCAAGACAAATATGATGCCCATGCGACGTCAGTTTGCCTATCAAGAACAAAGTACCCAATGCGGCACTGCCATCCATACTGCCTTAAGGATCAGGGGTGTCACGCGCAAGGGATATCCGAGACATCAGTGTTTCACCGTCGGTGCCTCCTTAGTATTGGTCGGGTCTGGTGGGAACATCAGATTAGTCCTGCTGAGGTATGGCAGACTATCCAAGGAAGAGGGAATTCCTCCACGATTCGTGAATTATCCAAGCGCCATAAGTTACGCCGGTTAGGACATGTATTCTGCATGTCGCAAGACGGTCTGTCTCGCAAACATCTTTTCACCCAACCATAGGTTGAGCAAATGTGACCGAGAAGAGGAGAATCTATAAACTGGCAAAGAAGTATGAAAAGGCTAACCAGTAGACTGAGACAGGTGGACGACTGTCGCCTCTAGGTGGGGAATGCTTGGCTATCAAGTACACGGACTAACTGAACATGCTATCGCCTCTAACGCTTTGGTGTATGTCTCACACTCTCCAACTCCCCGGTGGCTGAAACTGTAGCCAAACTGGAACCGATGTGCCTATGGCACACAGTTTATAGCTGATAAATTGAAATAACTGATACCTCCGGTACAGACCAGCCAACATCAATCAAGCACCAGATCTCCGATAGAACAATGGGTTTCTTTGTTTCTGTAGTATTGTTCCGGATGGTAGTTACTGGTGAGTGTGATAGTCTTGGAGTTGAACTGCTTGGTTCCTCCTTTGTACTGCACCAGTAGGGCATAGCGGTCTAGATGTTGTAGCATAAAATCAGTAGGCCACTTCCATTGAAGTCACCTATGATAACTATTTCCTGTTTTTGGTGGTGGTCCCACCATTCAGTGGCGTTCTTCCAGTAGACGGACTTAGTCTGCGCCATTTCCAGGGTCTTGCTGGACTTCCCAACCCTTGTCTTTGCATAAAGCCATCAGACTTCCGTTTTAGTGCTTCTTGGAGTATTATGGCAGATGAGGTCCAGGGTCCGACATGTTATTGTAGTTGCGTGCGAATAGGTTTGGGTATCTATAGAGGAAAATGTCGGTAGCCCAGGTAGTGTACATGGTGGTTGTTGGCTTGTTCGCTGAGCTGGGCAATTTGATTGCAAACGGTTCATCACCAATCGAGGTGACATCATCAGTGCGTTATTGGGGAGTGTAGTAGTGCGTAGCGGTGGGTTGGTGGTTGTGCTATGCGAGTTCACTGAGCCCGCTGAAGTCCGTCTTCTTCTTGGTCTGCTGCGTCCTTGCAATATAAGAACACGGGCCTTCAATCCTGATATGAGCTTTAGTACAGTATCGTCTTGCCGCGATTGGGTTCCGAACGCGACATCCACCATTCAGTGGCGTTCTTCCAGTAGACGGACTTAGTCTGCGCCATTTCCAGGATCTTGCTGGACTTCCCAACCCTTGTCTTTGCATAAAGCCATCAAACTTCCGTTTTAGTGCTTCTTGGAGTATTATGGCAGATGAGGTCCAGGGTCCGACATGTTATTGTAGTTGCGTGCGAATAGGTTTGGGTATCTATAGAGGAAAATGTCGGTAGCCCAGGTAGTGTACATGGTGGTTGTTGGCTTGTTCGCTGAGCTGGGCAATTTGATTGCAAACGGTTCATCACCAATCGAGGTGACATCATCAGTGCGTTATTGGGGAGTGTAGTAGTGCGTAGCGGTGGGTTGGTGGTTGTGCTATGCGAGTTCACTGAGCCCGCTGAAGTCCGTCTTCTTCTTGGTCTGCTGCGTCCTTGCAACATAAGAACACGGGCCTTCAATCCTGATATGAGCTTTAGTACAGTATCGTCTTGCCGCGATTGGGTTCCTCGCGAACGCGACATGGCACCCTGGTAGCGGTCGGACGACTTGCCAACAGGTCTTTGCTGATGGGAAATGCAGAAACAGTTGGCAGTGTTGTGCTTCTTCTTCTCTTCCTCTACCCTTTTGGAAGGCGTATTGTAGGTCGTTGGCCAGGAACATGTACCAGCTAATCGGGCGTCTCGGTAGGGTCATCGATGGTGATCACGATATTCTTTGGTAGTAAGTTACAAAAAGGAATTTTTCATTAGATTCTGAATTCTAAAATCTGTCTTTTTGAATTCGGGTGTTAGTTGTCCTGAAATCGCCCTGGAAATGGAGCTTCCGTTTTAGTGCTTCTTGAGGGCATTGTGGCAGATGAGGTTCAGGGTCCTGTATATGTTATTTTAGTTGCACGCAATCCTGACGCCCTACCTTTATCGCGATACTCCCGACTGGAACGTCAGTTAACTACAAATCTTAGTAAAGAACCTCAGGAAGTTACCTACACCATGAGATCCGAGTTAGAGATAATACAGGCACACATTGTGTCCATCCGTTACAATGATATTCAGGCACTTTCCCGTAAAAATGAATTCCCCAATTCAGTGGTGCTCTCTGCACTGTTTTGCCCGCAAAAAGATAGATAATGTGAATGAGATAAACACATTTAAATATCACTAACTACTGCTGCAGCTTACCAAGCGCTCGGTTTCACGCACACTCGCATCCCACGCAGCACTGACAGATCGTGTGGAGCTGGTGAACTCTCTGCAACATATAATGCAGTAATGAGAAAGGCAATGTGATGGCAGGTTGAAGGTAGGTTGGATTCAAAAATATATGCAGACTGTCTACACTTGAATATGGTTGTGTTAAAATACAATACAATTAAACAGTGAAGTATGGTTGATGACTTTATTTGTACACAGCTGTGCACTATGCGGATGAAAGAGGCAGGTGAGTTACGAACTAAGTTTACGAAAAGTGAATTTCCGTGAACTGTGAGAAAGATGCTGTGTTTCGAAAGCGTCAAATCTTGAGGTGAAGGAACAAACCTGTATGACTACCAAATCTGCATTTCGTACCGGAGGCTCAATATACGCATGCCAGTTACGACAAACTACCGAAGACCTGCATTCGTATTCTCTATTCTTCTAGTGTAGCCATTTGGAACTCATCAGCATTGGTTATTACCGTCAACCGGTTTTGCAGTCAGGTAATGAGCGAGTCAAGGATACGCATTCGTATTTGCAAAATGCATGTGTGCATCTATTTTTTGAGGCCATTTCGTGACAAAACGATGCGATGTAGCGTTGACAGATGAACTTTGAGGCAAATCAGAGACGAGGTATGTGGCACCGCGATTACGAAAGTCGATCGTTGATTTATCCGACACAAATTCTATCCAATAAATTGGACTACATATATGATTGCTAAGGAAAAAACACTGAGTTTTCTGCAGTCGTGATTTGAACTACAAACTGAGTTTCAAAAAGAAAGCGAGGATGCTTTTGCTCTAAACTTATATGAAACAGACAGAGCTAGTGGTTTTCTTTTTAGCTAATGAGCTTGATGATATCTGGAAACCCTCGGATTTCGTGAAGAAAGCCCTAGGACTGGTACTCAGCTGCGTCTCTCTAGCACGTTGGAGTTTGAATTTTCATATGAAATAAACTTTAGTCACCGGATAACGTGTGCTTTAATTGGAATGTATCGACGGTACGTGAATTTGGGGGACAGATGTGGTTAGGAAAACCCCAGGTTATGTTTACCTTGTTAACCTTAGTGTTGCCAGAAGCCACGGATACGATATTGACAAGATGCGCTGCCTATACGAACTGAGCGTGCTCCCACAGTAAAATATACCGTCTTTTTCACAGATTTTTGATATGCAACCATCTTTTAAATGCTGTCACCATTGTACTCGCCATGGTGAGAAAGCATTAAACATTCATTTACGAATCAAATGAGCCCGAGATTACTCAATGGGTCGAGCACGAATTGGCTGACCGGAAGGTTCGTGGTTCGAACCCAAACTCTGCATCTCGACTGCTTCTGTTTAGGCTTTGCAACTTGGTAATATCCCCGCCCCGTGCTTCCTTCAGGTGGCAGGGAAGCTAAGCACCGGAAGGGTGTTACAGCTGAACTATTATTTTTCCTAATTATCAATGAGATTTTTCCAAGGGTAAGGAGTCTAGTAGTTGGAGAATGAAAAGATTATCCAAACGATCACCTCGGACGCAAATAATGCTAATGTAACAAAAAATGGGAGAGTAGCTTTTTCCCCGTTTCATAGTTCCAATCAATGACTCGATTTTTTCGTAGTTCATTTTGTATGTTATACATAGTAACGACCCACAGTATGGTGTTTCAGCATACTGACAATATCACGATCCGCCGGGCAACTATTTAACCCGCTGATGAGTTGTTTATCAGCAAATCAAAATGGGAAAAACTAATCGAACGCACTGATGGTGTCCGGTAGCAACAATAAGTTCACAGTATTGTTAACTGCTCGGGCAGTGACAAAAAGGAGAACAACTATAGTTTCTTAAGTAGCAACTCAAGTTGCCTGATCAGAAAAGAGAATCAGGAAGAACAGCGCTGCAGATGAATCACTTAGGAGAATAGATGGTGGGAAAGAAAATGCGGTCAATGATTCTGATGCACGTGCCGCTATTTTGATAACTCAGATGAATCAGTGGCAAAAACACGAGGAAAATAACCTGCTTTGGCTAAACAGCATTATTTTGTTGGTTGATTCGTAACGGCACAAAGCAGTTGCCAGTAGATGGTGGGAAGTAACAAGGGTGATTAACATAGTTTCCCTATACCAACAGCGCATACATGACATAACCGACAAAGGCTGAAAGTCGAGGTAGAACATGAACGACGAAAATTTACCCCGTGATCACCATTTCCATTAGTCGTCGGATAGTTGGGTAGTTTGACCACAGATGGAAACCTAGACCAAGATAACGGGACAATGCCAGGTAAAAAAATGAGTTCTGAGCGTGAGTAAGTCTATGAACATGTTATTTGTAAGGCCAGACACATGTTACGTAATAGGCTAACAAGGAAAGCTGCCTGGATTATAGAGGGAATCATTCTGTGTTTCTGAAGACCGAATAAGTTTATACATACGTCAATAAGAAAACTCCCAGTCGTCAATTCAGGTAAACCGATAAACGGCAACACGTTGAAAAAGGTAGATCGCGCCAGGCGGAGCAGGGTAATGACGCTCGAGGCAAAATCACTCAATCTCCTGCCGAATGGAAGGACAGTCGCATTCTTTATTTCGCCTCAAGCACCACAGGGCTGCTGCAATGCTAACACCGGACTTAAGTCCCTCTAATCCTGTACAGATTTCAAGCATCCATGCTACGACCACTTTGCTCAACGCTGTTCAGCAAGACAGCTTTGAGCAGCGGTAAATTTCGATATCCTGAAAATCGCGATGGTACACACCCACTTAAAGGGGATTTGTATTGAGTTTATTCACCACAGCAACGTTAGTTTTGGCTAACGTTCTAACAAGGCTCCTGATGTCACAGATTCTTCGACATCCTACGATGGCAAGCAGAAACCCGAGCACCACGCGTCGTCTGGACACCGGGGCCGCTTTCACCACATCGTCAAACTCCGTCAGGTGTTAGAACAACGTCACACGTGCAGATGATTCAACTCTACGTCCAATTTTACCGACCGATTAGTGCTTTTAACAATCCCCCCCCCCAACAGCAAATGCCTGCGAAGTCCGTCAACATAATGCGGGTCTTATAGCCACATACTTCCGGCGGGTACGAAAATGCATGATGAGCTCTCCAAAAGAGCTCTTCTACAGGAAGTGATGTCCCGCAAGGACGCACACACACACACACACACACACCATTCCTCGTCACATGCGTCATCCATGAAATAACGGAGTGAACACTGGGTAAAGCGTAAGCAACGTGGAATAAAATGACCACATTTCCGCACACGCTTTGAACCTACAAAGTGCAAACGAACGATCCTCTGAGCATGACCTTGCAACTCAAGGAGAAGCCTTGCAAGTCGTGGAGACTTCTACACAACTCGGTGGTCGTGCTAGTTCTGACGGTTGCGTGTCTGAACAAGTAAGTAGCCGAACCTCTTCGAGCCTCTGCAGGCACATGACCTGAAGATGCCTCAGCTCGTTGAGCAACCAAATCTCGCAAGTGCCATTAGTGCCTGATAGCGCCGAAGAAGCAGTAGCGGCGTCATTAGAAAAAGGGTGTCCGATTGTGCAGCAGGTAGCTCAGTAACGAATGAAACATGCTGAAGCATCATCCATCGAGATGAGTTTCGTTCTCGCTGCCGCCTTCACCAGTGCGCAAACTGTGAGTCGGGCACTGTGTGAATTCGCATTAGGGTGCGATACACATCGAGTAGTTTGGGTGTTTTTGATGCGCGGCTTTCCAGTAACCGGTCCGCTGCAGTGCCCTGGATACGTTGCAAAAAATCGCGGATGACCATGTCAGTAACGCTAGTCTAGTTGGGCATTCGGAGGAATGGACAGCTCAAAAGTTTTACGATAAGCCAGCCCCAGGCTCTTTCCTCATTCACGCTTCTCTCCCCATAACCTGTAGGGCTTAGGCCATAATTCAAGGGAACCTGAGGTTAGGCGGCGGCGACACATCGATGTCACCACTTAACTTGCTGTCCAGAACAACAGTGATGTTGGAAAGAAAATGGAGATAACCGTTTGGGCGTCCATGATCGAGCGTTGTCGACATTTCACGAAGGGTCACGCAGTTGGGTTCGTCTGTTTCACCAAATTAATCGACTTTCTTCCTCGGTGTTTTGGTTTCCACGTTCAGTGATCTATATGCTGACATCTCACTTTCCGCGCCACAAAGTCGAATGAACAAATTTCAGTTTTTCGAATTACGGTGCGACTGATTTCAGCAAAAAACGGTCGACCACATGCTCAACAGACGATTGTAATATGACTCGTTTCCCACCACTGTGCTGGGACAGAATCAAGTTGCAGCGCGTTAGCCTACTTTATAGTGCACAGAGCAGAAATCACTGTCAAAGACAACGAAAAGTCCTGATAGTGGTAGGTACTACAGTCCGATTAACGCTTGTCACATCATCGAGGAATTGGTTTACAGGTTAAGCAAGGGTGGATAGCATAATACCGCTACCGCGAAAAACGCTTATTGCAAGAATATATAGACGGCTTGAAACCAAAAAGAGCAAATTTAATTAGTTCTCATGGTCTTTGCGTCAGTTCGCTTCGGCTACACTTGGAGAAAAGCATTCGCGAAAGAAAACCAATACTTTTATCCCCAGCAGTAACGGAAATTCTTCGAAAAGTGTGTCGTGTTTTTGTTACGCAGTGAGACCACACTCAAGGTATGAGAAGTCAAACATAGTCAAACCTGAAGTTGCATTCATTGACTGAATGACACCAACAAACTACAAGAGAACTGCTCTAAACAACGTTACATGATATCTCATGGTGACAAACAACCTACCACAGGTTTGTATACAATGCGCCGCCAAGACAACTGTCGTGGTGGAGACATGCCAATAGACCGAAGCGTAGGCGAGTTCCGCCAGTTCCCTGAAACACAATGGCAAACAGGATGAGAAAATACAACCGAATTTGTGTAGACAATAAGCAACCTTATTCGACGGAACACTGGAAAGTATTTCTCACGGTTGTAACAGCCCCGTAGTTGATACGGGGTAAATCTGACTAGCTGTATTACGGGAAAGGCTTCACACTCATGTGGGAGGGGTTTTCGGAGACTAAACATCTCTCAATGATCCAGAGAAATTGAGGTTCGACGTAATCAGGCTCCAAATATAATATAAAAAGAGCGAAACTCACGCAGGGAGTTGCTGCTCGCAAACGTAGGTACAGCTTGCGTACATCAGATCGATCAACTGTTCAGCTTTGACCACGCTGATTGTATCCATACCTAGAGACATGGGGAATAAGAAGTGAGTCAAAAGTGGACGATAACAGAGCAGTTCTGTTAGTGGTACAATCTGTTCTCCCCACTGTTGTATCTACTACTGAAGCCTTAGAATAACAGCTGAAGAAGCTAACGCATTTATGGTAAACCAGATCTGGATGGCGATGAAAGAAATAACGGGTAAAATCGAAAAATAACAGACTCCAAGCGATAAAGATCTACCATAAGGACTGAAAAAATTTGCTCACAGAAGACCGTATCTACCAGACCCCGACAGTGTTTAGCCAATCAGTTAAGTTATTCAGCCATAAAGGTACAGTGACACTAGCTGCTACAGTTCCGTTCACCGAGGATGAAGAGGAATAGGAAATGGCAGTTACGCCTTGGAAGAGATGGCCATCGAGGTCGAATTACTGTGTCTGTTTGGTAGAGCAGGGAGTTTCATTTCACGAACACCAAATGAGCAGCACAGTCGGAAACGCTGCAAAGAATGGTAAGCGGAATGCAATCGAAAGACCGCAAACCATCTTGTGCGGGCCTTATCAATTATATTCTGTTTCTGAATAGTAAAAATGGAGACCTCGGCCATCAACAATTAGCCAATTTTCATAAAGTACATTCTAATATCATCTGATGGAAAGCTGAAAACAGTAAAAAAAAAGGTAAAAATAGATCCGCTAGGTGGCCAGACGTCCCTGCGAAATAATGAAAAGTAAAATCTAAACGTGCACAGAACCCGTTCCAGAACCCATCAACGAGTGTGCCTGACCATTTGGAGCCACCCATCCCTGATGAGTTACGGTCTGAGCACTGTCTGATGCTGGCATAAATTTCCTCGATATTTATATGGACTTCCAGGATGTCTCTCTGACATACCCATTCTCAGACCCCAAAGCTGTATGATGGCGGTAGTAGCTACGGATGTTGTACGAGTAAACAAGTACAAATTAAACTGCGACTGAATGTTCAATTTATGTACGGAATCTGTGAGTAATCAAGCAACATCCAAGTTGGCAGTGATGTATCCACCAAAGTAGTTGAGCAGCTGGAAAATGTGACGCTTACCGGAATCACGAGCTAAGGAGGCAGCCCGCCAAACCAACTCGCATACCATCTCTACTGCGTCAACGGAACTAAGCAGCTGCCAAGTCGGCTCCAGCCCCAGTATGAGGAGCTGATGACATAATTTCTCGGGCAAACACACATCGGTAACAAGTGGAGTTTGAAGAGAGCTAAAAAAAAAAGAAAAACCGGATTAAAAATGATATATATATATATATGCAAATCGACTAGAATGATACAGATCGGGAAAAGGAATCAGTCTTGTCAACAAAAACGACAACCAAGCACAAATAGTTCGGCCTCAGAAAACATCACAGCTGACTACCGAATCTATAACATTTATCGGCATGAGTCACCGATGTGCTGAATACGTGCAACACTGCCCAACTTAAGTTCGCCAAGATACATTGGGTCAACCGTCTTCGATGTACTCTCAATTTTGGAATTGCACTGAGGATGGCGATATAACAATGCTAGCACCTTCCCCACCCCCATAAATTCGACTCACACGGCTTTGCTTACGCTCGTATCGAGGCTAGCGAGGTCAGACTGCTCAGGGATGGAAGCAGAAGAAACTTGATGATTTAAGTATGACTTGATGACTAGCTCACCCCTAGCTAAATTTATTTTTTAGCTGATCTCACGCAACCATTTCAATACAACCTTCGACATAGTCAGCCACGACAGTACTTACTCGGTCATACAAAATAACGTAGGCCCAATTTACTTATCAGACTATCTATGGCTTACGTACATGTACGCCCATCGTCCTGATTCAGCCGTAAACATGTGCATGATAAACTGGCGACTTGCACTCTTTTACAACAGAGTGATCAGTTCCCGAGTCGGTTGGTTCAACCGGAGAAGCAAGTCAGGGCTCAAAGACATGCCTGAAGCCGGTGTGGGGAAAGCAAGCCTCTTGAATAATATTTTTGGCTACCACTGTATTCCCTCTCATTCATCTCCCACTGCGAAACAATCCAAGCGCGGGCCGATTGTGACCAGGATGATGGTGGGACTACGCTGATCTCTAAAAGTACATCCAAGGAGCGCTGGATGTAAACGTTGGCGCAAAAATGTAGCACTTTCTGGTATCTCTACAAAAAATCCTTATATTGCCTTAAACTGTCGTCATTTTATTGAAAACTGTTTAAATCGTCTCCCCGGCAAGCACTCCGATTTCAATTGTGCGCATGTGTGGTGGTTGTTTAGCTGACAACTGGGGCCCTTCATGACCATGTCTGCAATACCTAAGTTATTTCTGCGATATCCCGAATCTCAAGTCCTATCTTCCTCTATATGACTTTAGAATTCGCTGCTCTGTGAAGCCAACCAGAACCTTGGTACGTAAGTTGACAATGAACCCTGGATTTTTGGCACTTGCAACTTACTTTGTTGGGTAAACAAGTGTTCATGTAGTGCGGCAGGGCACCCGTTGCGGTTTGTGCTCCACTTCGTGTTGAACTTTGCTTTTTCCGAAATCAACCAAGTAGTTGTTTCCGTAAAGGTTCGATGAAAGACGTTTCAATGTACTTAAGGAAGTTTTGGAAGAGAAATCACCGCCTTTTAGGGCACCGTTTCGGATACCGCCGTTGATGTAGAATGTCAAATGGATCAATGACAAACTACTCACAATATTGCAGTAGCTGCACGAGCAAGTCATTATGAATACTGATAGTTCGATGTAACCTTGGTTGCCCCCGATTCCACTTCAAAACCAGTATTTCGAAGTAAGTTACCGTGGTTGCATGAGAAGTTATTTGCTTAGTACTGAAGGCTTAACGTGGCAGTGGCCAAATATTGCACTTTCGAGCAGCGTTGCCCAGCGGGGAAAATCCGCTGCTCTTCCTCGTTGGACACTGTCCGAATTCCGTTTGTTCGTTTATCGATTACCAGAAAAGTGAGACTGGTTCCCGTTCATAACTTCGCATAGAAACAATAATGTATGTTACTGGTGTTTGTGGTGATGGTTGTGTATTACTCCATCCCGGTATGCGGGGGAGCTGGGTTACGTGCATGCAACTAATGTGACAACATTGTCCTAAAATTCTATAGATTTTGTCGTCACTCGGCGCAGTGAACCTCTTGCAGTGATCCTCTAGCATTTCAGCAACACAAAATAGCAAGTCAGTTCATCTCCATCCCCAATCACATCGAAACGATGATATTTCTGGGATAAACTATTTTTCTTCATCATCAAGGTCTTGTGTTTATCACTTTCTAGCTTTCGTATGCTGAATGGAGTCTAGTAGATCGGATAATTTTCCAATGCGACGGCGTTCGGTGAGCTTGAACAGTTGCCCGTTTAAACCAACCGCTGAAGGCAAAATGCTATGCAGCCGGAACAGACGCGACATTCACAAATCTCAGCATTGAAAACGGAATAGCATCGATGAAGTTTGCACATGGTGACTAGTTGGAAATGGTAGATGATGAATTGTGCCGGGGAATGGTTCAGAGAGGTAAAACATTGGTTCCCCTTATTGGGTTCTCAACACATGCCATTACAAGTATATCACCCTGAAAAATTAACCATTGGACAAGGAACACTGTCTTAGAGTTACCACCTTGAATGACTTCGCAGAGTTGAAACTGATGCATGGTTTGATAACGTGTTTTTTATCGCATCAAGGCCGATAAAACACCCGTTCGGAACCCAGCTAACGTAACTGCTTTCCGCTATATTTGCTTATTGCAGTCAAAACGCACAAGCACATCGGACGCAACGACTGGCCTACATGCTTGCCAGCATGGATGAAACTCCTCAAACTTAAACAAAGTACCGCTGGACAAAAGTTCCTCAGCTCAGTATACCCCGCTTAAGCGACCTAGCGGAACTTTCCGTGGTATCCGAGTTTTGAAATAGCATGGTATCAGGTTAAAATTGCCATCTGGCGTTCTCAGACCTNAGCATGGATGAAACTCCTCAAACTTAAACAAAGTACCGCTGGACAAAAGTTCCTCAGCTCAGTATACCCCGCTTAAGCGACCTAGCGGAACTTTCCGTGGTATCCGAGTTTTGAAATAGCATGGTATCAGGTTAAAATTGCCATCTGGCGTTTCTCAGACCTATGACGCAGGGCGGATGAAGAGAGGAAGAATGTAGGATAGAAGCAGCTTAAGGTGACAATACTCCTCAACTGATGATAGTGCAATAAAGCTTTCTTCAATGTCTCGTGAGCCCGTCGATCAAGTTGGAAACAGTGACTCACTGTGGCTGAAAAATAAGAGATAGCCCCTTTCCCTCCACCCGTTATAAGGTGTAACCTTTCTCAACCAAAGCACCAATGTCCTAGTTTACTTACATTTGCTCCTGTTCCCCCAACCAAATAGAGCGGACTGGATATTCTGGGGCAAGTTCGTAGTCAGACTTTGCCTTCGTTACGGGCGTCACTGATTCGAGTAGCAGCGCCCGACGAATCAGTGTGGCTGGTTTGAGCAAGGTGAAGCAGGTGACCACAGCTGAATCCATGTTACCGCTGCCTTCCGGGTTCATTCCGTCAGATACTGTTTGTACGGCAGCATTGATAATCAGAGGTAGAATCGTTTTGATCCACCGGACGAATCCCAAACGAATTTGGCGCAGGGTTGTTTGGTGTGCTTTCATGGCTTCATTATAATTGCCTGACGTGGAGAGAATGATAAGGGAATCAAAGTGAGGTTCCATTAAAATATTCAGATCGAAACTGTCAAAACAAATACGTCAGTACTTCACTCGGGTGCAAACGGATAATGCCTTGAGCAAAATCACAAGAAAAACGCAGTATTCGGACAAAATGTTAAAAGCAACGCATCCCCTGTATAACACATTGGCGTTATTCGATAAGGACAGTAGTTATAAACAAATAGATAAACTTGCCTGCGACGAACAGCCCCAGGTCTGCTTCTCAGGTGCTTGAGTTTAGTTAGATCAGTTCAGTTTTCAGCTCACAAACCGTGCACAGAAATGCAGTGGTTCCAGCTACTACAGCTTCGTTGGCCAAGGATAATAAGAATGAGGGAATGGGAGTCACGCGTTGGAGGCGATAGCCTAATCTGTTCATTGACCCCGAATGGTTCTGTGTCCGCTATGACAGAGTGAGGGCCACGCAGTGAAGGCAAGCTTTGGCTGCTTGACCCGACCAAATCTGTTACGGTCACTAACCAACGCTTTGTCGCACCCCGCGGTTCCCAACCGCGATGACAGCAGTTACCAACTCAGTTGCCTGATAAGGTCTTTTATGCTTCGTTGAGTGAGATGAACCACTACTCCCGAAAGTGCTCGTCTCGGTGGTTTGCAGTCTGTTGCCTCAAAACTGACTTCTTCTATTTCAATAAGGCCTCAGGAATAGAAATTTCCGTGAACTTATTAAGCTGGAAGATAACCATTTCCGTTGCGAGGTAAAAGTACAACGCGACCGACAGATTGTCTCACTGTGCCCGAATTTGTGGAACCTTCACTGAAGACTTCCATTCGTTTTTGTGACTCAGATGTTTCGACCATCTTGGGAGCAGTCAGATTCTCGTGCAGTCATATTATCCAATGATGACCACTTTTTCAAGTGCCAAAAGTTCCACCACTTTAACTGATCTAGCAGCCTCAGTATGGAGATAAAAACACAAACCAGAGTATGTAGTTCGGCAGAAAAAAATACCGATGACAAAGACTTGATTGGACCCCCAAACGCACAACCACACTGCTTTCCGTCTTTACCGGGACTCAACAGGTGGGCAAAATCGATCAAGTGACATTATCGACCAACGTAGCTCACCAGAATTTTACGTGATGCGCCATTCTAATCTCATCAAACCACGTACGTGCAACTAAAATTTCATCTTTATTTCCGAAGAAGAACTACGTCACACAGAGGGAAACGCGACCGACAGATTGTCTCACTGTGCCCGAATTTGTGGAACCTTCACTGAAGACTTCCATTCGTTTTTGTGACTCAGATGTTTCGACCATCTTGGGAGCAGTCAGATTCTCGTGCAGTCATATTATCCAATGATGACCACTTTTTCAAGTGCCAAAAGTTCCACCACTTTAACTGATCTAGCAGCCTCAGTATGGAGATAAAAACACAAACCAGAGTATGTAGTTCGGCAGAAAAAAATACCGATGACAAAGACTTGATTGGACCCCCAAACGCACAACCACACTGCTTTCCGTCTTTACCGGGACTCAACAGGTGGGCAAAATCGATCAAGTGACATTATCGACCAACGTAGCTCACCAGAATTTTACGTGATGCGCCATTCTAATCTCATCAAACCACGTACGTGCAACTAAAATTTCATCTTTATTTCCGAAGAAGAACTACGTCACACATAGGGAGAATTATGCCAAAAGATGTATGTGTAAGTCGAAAACAGGGAAACTTACTTGCTCGTCGGCTGCTCTGGCTGTTGTTAGTTAAGTACGGCCGACTAGCAGAAAGCATCTGTAGCGCAGCGATCAAGGAAACCAGCCCGTTAAGGTAGAACTGGAAGGAGGCGATGTGCCCACCAGAAGACGTCTTATCTGGTGGTGAGTTCAGCAGTGACGTCACAATGGTGTTGGCCGCAGCTGCAGCAGTTGTAGTGCCTCGATGGGCCCGATCATGCATGAGGACATTGGCAAGCTCAGCGCAAGGTAAATAGGAATGTGCAGTAGACGAATGAAAGATAGCCGGTAGACTCGGGTTCGGCACAGATTCTGAAGAACTAAGGCGCCAATTGCGAGAGAGTTCACGTAGAAAGTGGTACAAAGGAGATAGTTCACTGTTCAACTGATCGATCAACTGGTCGTTGGATAGAGATAAATGGTCACGAGGCACGAAGCACGATGTGGCTGAGGACAACAGCCGATCATGTAGAAGATTACCCATCACCTGAAACAAAGCATAAAAACAGTGGGTCCCGTGTCAGAAAGGTTGTATGTGTCAATCACCAACAGAAAATGTGTGGTTGGATCTCGAAAAATGAGCTAAACGAACACTTTCGCCTTCACAAAATGCCACCAGATGGGCGTAAACGGATCGGCCGTGACCCTTCAGCGAACTGCTTCAAACCATTAAATCCAGGGATACGCGACTACCAACTGCAGCTGATGACTTTAATTAACTTGCGAGTCGCGTTAGAATACAGTAATCTGGTCACCAGTTAATAGTCTGACGCCTACTCACAGTTAGACAGCCACAGACGATTCGTGCAGAGCCGTGTGTGGTGCAGGACAAAAGCTTCTATCGCCTAGTTAGATTTGAGGACATAACATCTGTGTGTGAACGTTCATAGGCAACTTTTAAGCTGTCAATCCATCCAAACATGATAGCAAAACAACGGGTACAAGCACCAGTAGTTTGGTCATCATCGAGGTATCGAAGTCACCTGTCATTTATTTTAAGCTGCAGCACACAGGAACGTAGTAACACCAATAACTTGGCGTTCGGTTAGTGTATTTGTTTCGCAGAATCAACCAGAAAAGGTGACGCGGAGAAAATCTATTAACTACCAAGCGAGGGATAACGACAGTGCGCTCTTCCTCAATTATCCCACTGTATGCGGGTAGACAGCAATGGGGAGACCTACTGGTCCCTCAGAAACAGGCCTTTAGCAAGACAAGCCGAGTGAAACTAACCTTTTTGATCAGAAATTTCAGGAATGTAACTCTTTGGCATATATGTCGTAGCGCTAGCGAAACCATGACCGGGAAGAAAACTTGCTTCCTCCTCACAAACTCACTGTTCCTGGTCTGTTCAAACATACATACCGCAAAACAGAACGAAGGATTGCGAGCAGACCAAGTGACACTGTGTAATAATTAACTAACTAAGGGAGACATAACGAACAATCGGGTTATACATGTTTAGATGTCGTATTACAACAATATGTGGCAGGGAACCTCTGGGGGATAGCGTTTAGCTGCAGCACCCTTTCGGTGCCTAACTGCCATGCCATACGAGGGAGGCATGAGGGTTGGGATACTGCCAGGTTGCCCAAACCTAGACAGGGGAAGTCGAGAGGCAGAGGTCGGGTTCGAACCACGAACCTTCCGGTCAGAAAATTCGCGCTCTAACTACTCGGTCCATCTCGGGGGATAACAACCTCTAAAAAACCGTTCACTGAGTAATAATGTCACCATGGGTGAGACAGTATCGTGTGTTCGAGTTAATTGTATCTGATCGAAGGTGGAACGTAACCATATCGGGGAAAATTACCCATTACATCGTTCAGAAAAAATCGTTCAGTTGTAGCACCCTTTCGGTGCCTAGCTGCCATGTCACACGAAGGAGGCACGAGGGCTGTAATACTGCCAGGTCACCCAAGCCTAGACAGGGGATGTCGAGAGGCAGAGTTCGGGTTCGAACTACGGACTTTCCGGTGGTTACATTACATCGCTGTACCTTAGAGAGGAATAGGTAACACGGATCGGTTCGATCTGTAACTGAGTGAGAACCAATCACACTAATTGACATGTTGATTGTACCAACCTAAAAGGCCGTCTAAAGTTCGAAGATTGATAAAATCTCTTCGAAATCATGATACACATAGCACAGCTTCTTTGGAAGATAACGGCCTTGAGCTCGAAGCGGACCGGAGCGAAACCACGAAATTTCAGTGGCGATCAGTGTCGCGCAATTGCTTGAACTGAATTGTATTGACAATCCTGAAACGACCGGATGAAGCAAGCAATGTTCTTGAATGAACATTTGTTCGGGTCAAAAGGTTCAAATATCCTCAGGTATATCTCTCCAAAGGTTTTTTTTCATTTAGGTCAAATTACCCAATAAGACGCTAGTGAAGACGATAATCTGCTAACTTTGAAGTAATTAACTTAATGGCTGTTGTGATGGGATACCTTTCGTGCCTATTTAGTAAATCAATATTTTGACACATTGACATGCAATTCTAACCCCTGTTTACCGATTACGAACCGAACGGGGTAAAAACCTAGCGCAATCCTTTGTATGTAGGGCTTCCCGTCAATGGGAACACAAAATCTCACATATCACAAAGTAGCGCAAATCCAGACAGCATTCAATACCTCAGCAGTGAATTTTGCAACAATAGGAAATACATCCGCTGCGTCAACGTAAGCTCCCAAAAACAACCACTCTCCTCGTACACCGATCATTAGCCCCATTTTGTTTTATTGGCGTTGTTGAGTCCAAGACAACAACCACCAAGAACACATACCTGGAGATTAATATCGTTGCATCAGCTCTCGCACTGGACAGAATTCATGGGAGTGTGAGGCGTCCAAAAAAGAAAACCTGTTTGGTGCTTTTCGCACCCTACGATGAGGTTGCATCCGATGTGCCTATGTTGAATCTCGTTCATATTACTCAGTTACTGTCAAATACGGTTAGAACGAGAATGCCGTTAAACCATCGTGCGAGGTTGGCCTGTGGTTATGTAAAACTCAGTAAAATTCGAGTAAATAGGAGCCAAGCGGGTCAGGAGCCTCAGCAATGGTGCAATCCCTTGTGGTTTACTACAACTCTTGCTGGGAAAATAATGATGGATGATATAGCTAATGATTTCCGGATGAATAAATCCTGTGGGACGCAGAAATGTCCGTTTCCAGCGCGTTTTGCCTTTGTAGAGTCATATGTGGAATAGCTGAGAACCACGAATGGTGAGAATCTCCGCTATCAGAGTCACCTTTTGCTTATGACTTTGTTGTAGGAGAACCAAAGTGTCACGGCAATGAACAATAAGCAATGTAATCCAAATTTCTCACCCGAACCCACTGCAAACCGAAATTTTGATGAAGAAATGATAAGATAAAGTGGACGGAACCGGATGATCGACTCGCTGCCGTTGCGGCTCCTGCAGCCACGGCAGCCATTGTGGCCGAATTCAATTGCTGGTGGCCCTGTGGAGTGTTCTCTGATGATCCCCTATTTAAATTCCCTTGTGACATCGTGCGCACATTCTCCGCTATGTTGAGCACTGCCTGTGTGAAATACTGGTTTGGCGTACCCTTTTGACCCAATGAATCTGTGGATGGGATCGGGCGAAGTTCAGCAGCAGCGCAGAGATGTATCAAACAGTACAGGTTCGTCGGAGCGGCTTTAACAATGTGACAGAAACACTCCAGAAAAGCCAGCTGAAGGGAAAGCATACGTTAAAAGTGAGTTGCAGCTCGACACAATAATAAAATGTCGTAGAGGGAAAATAGTTAATCTACATCCAGGTCGAAGTGCATCTCCCAGGAAAGTATACAAACAGGGTGAACTGACCCATTGAATTAAGTCTGTGAACTAAGATGGCTGCACACTAAACTAACATCCTTAACGAAACGAAGAACCCTTAGTTTCACCAGCACAACATAGTACAGTACCATTGAATTTCAAAGTCATACCTCGGTAGAAAAAACGTAATTCGCGATCGTGACACTCAGACAGAAACTTCAATTGTAGTATACTGCAGCGTGAAGCCCTGGTTGCGTCCGACAAGGTAGAGAGGGCCCGGCTGCTACAGCTTTTTCTTCACCAAAACTACGTTGGAAACGCTTGGTCTGTCCTCAGTGGCTGGCACCAACCTCTCAACAGTATAGGTTAGAAGACCTTGATGACAAAACTGAGCGCCAAAAAGGGAGTGAAGGAAATGCGCAAAGTCACAAGGTGGTTCGTCAACAGTCTCCCTTGCAATCGGCCCATGTTCACAGAAGTTCGCGGTTAATTTGGTCTACCTAAAGGTGTCAGCTAAAAGTCTATCTGTGAGCAATACTCATTGCCGTGTAGTGCCGAACGACACATGCAACTTGCATCAGGACCACACAAGGTCCACATTACTAACAGCGTACGCGTTTTCTAGCGACCAGAGATCAATACGGGTGTTCCTGAACGGAACCGACTGCTACGACATTGCAGTGCCCACTCCACGTATATAATGAACATCATAAAAGACACCAACATTAATGATGACGTCGATGATTTACGGCCGCACAACAAGAAAGTTTATTTGATTAAACTTAAATTCTTAGTACGGAAAAACAGAAGAGCGGACGAGTGTTGACTTAGTGATGGTCTATCACAAGCATTCTGAGGTGCCTACACCCCAAAGTGCCCAATTAGATTGACAGCATGAACTCCTTACAATGTCTTGCAGTCTCCGGCGAAGAGCAGAGGAGGGTCACGAGAACTTCATCCCGGAGGGTGGACAATATCAATATTCAAAGCTCCTCTCAACCTTTTCCACACTATTCCGCCGGGGCACACGTTGTCCAAATTGCAGTTTGCGCCATGCTACAGAAGGCACGGAAAACAACATCCATCTCGGTATACGAAGTTTCGGCATGTGTACCACATGGTAAAGCCACCACAGCCGAAAATGTCCGGTGTTTACAGCGAGTGAAGTACTGATGTGTATGCAAACGCCCGTTTCCGAAGTAACTCGTTATCAGAAAGGAGCACGAGGACTGTGACACTGTCAGATTACCCAGGCCGAGATGCAGAGGCTTGATTCCGACAATGGGCCTTCTGGTAAGTGAGTTCCCACCTTAACCACTAAGCTGTCTCGAACTCAGTTGCCACGTCGCAAAACTGTCGACGCCATCCCACATCAGCAGCGTTCCTGAGACATCGGTAGTCAAAAACCTGAAGACGCCTCACACCATCTGTTCGCACAGACCATGTCTCGCAAACACAAAACAGTACAACACTTCCTGTAGTCTGGTACACGCTACCCTTGTGACCCAGTAATGTCTTTCACGACACAAGTGGCGTAAACTAGCAAAAACCAGCGAACGCTATTCGTGCACTGACTTCGGACACTTCCGTCAGAGCTAATACAGCTACCGAAGTATTTGAAATTCTCCACCAACTCCAATGCCCCTACCTGAACTGCAACGGGTATGTAGGGAGACTGGACGTCCTGAAGCACGACAATGAAATTTGCAGGTGCAAAGTTTCTGGTATACAACCCCGGTGCACTACAAATATGCGACTCCTATGAGCAACGAAGAAGCGGAATTCCAACTTTATACTGCAGTTCCTCCGGAGTACAACCGACCTCAGCTCCCTGAACATACTCCTAGTACTCGAAGATTCGGAGAGGGAGAATTTTCAAAGATATTAGTTGCTTACATTCTCCCTAAAGAACTCCCAAGATCTGATACGATCGTTCAGGAAGCCAATAAAGGAAAGTAAAAACGTCTCATAGACAGTTCAATACGATGTTTTAAAAGATGTGTGAGCGATCCCCTGGATTCACAAAGTAAAGCGACCCGCCAGTTTCAAGCGTGCCTGGGCCGAACCCATGTCCGTACTGGTCAGGTGTTGCCATACATATTAAACGAGAACATCATTGCACTTAAGGTCTTCCCGGTAACAAATTCGCAATGAGGTTGTCAGAAGAAGGGTTTCCGGTGAAGCTAGGGTTCTGCCCTCAGTGAATGCATCCAGCACTGCAAGCTGAGGTGGCTGGACCATGTGTTACGCATACTGAATTACCGCCTACCAAGATGGACGCTGATTTCCGTACCTACTTTGGAGGGGCGCAGACCCAGAGGTGCATAGAATTCTAAATGACAGAAGAGAACCAAGGATAGTACGAAAAATTTGGGTGCCGTCGATGCCAGAAGGGGGTCCACGTGACCCGCCTACACTCGGCTAGAGACACTGAAAGATGCGCCGGATAAGCAGTGTCATTGGCGTTCACGCTAGCAGTTTTCAGACTGTCTGATTGAGTGTTTGAAGTGTTGACGTATCGGATGTGGATGTCGGATGTATCTGGTAGGCTAGCCCTAGGCCCCCATCCCAGCCCCATTTCTTTTTCCTTCCATTTATGAGGATTCGCTCAAATAGAGTGGAATGGTTACACGGTATTGACCAACAGCGTGCACATCTGTCTATGGTGATGATGATGATGATAGTAGCGAGTGGTTAGAGGTGATCTTACTGGAGTGTTTCACACAGGAACGTGTTCGGAACTGGAAAAAAGGTTGACCGTGATGACATACTTTTTGTGAGCAGGAATTATTGTAATGATATAAAGCCAACAATTCCTGGGCTATGGAGTAGCTGAGATTCAACACACACTATCTTTGTTGATAACCAAAACAAACTCAAGGAGACGAGTCAAGGTATCACTCAAGTGTGGGTAGAAATTGGTTAAACATGGCTACCTGAATAACTGTGACCAGCCCTGTACTACCTCGGTTTTAAAAGAAGCACTAGGAATATACACTGTCCAATCGACAACAAACCTTAGAAATATCGATGAAAAACCTCACCTGCATATTAGGTTTAAACAATCTGTATCGCACTCGAAAGAGCATTGAAACCATCAAATCAAGGTCATGTGGTGATAGTCCACCAAGCCGACAGTTGGTAGCTAACAGAGCAGCCAACCCGATACTGAACAACTGAACCTTGGGATTCTGAAATAGGCAAGAGAAGTAATTCGGAGGGGAGGTTCAAATAAAAACAAAAATCAAGTAACAAACCTGTATTCACCAAAAATATCAGCGCCAGTGTTGTTCAACTACACCTCATATTGACTGAGGGAGTCGAAAGAGACAGTTCTTCACAGTAATCCCTCCAGAGATGTCTGTGTGGTAACAGCTCACTCGACATCCCCGGGTAGTGATATACCCAGCAGCTCATGGTAAAATGAAAACAAGTGTGACAGTCTGAAGAATAGATGACTCAGCAAAATTTCAGTAATTCACTTTCGTGAATTACTGAAACGCGGTGCAAGTCGTACTAAATTTTTCCGAACTACTGTAAAACTGTCAGTACTGACTGAGCTCAGTAACAGTTACACTCACAGTTTACACAACTACTCCAATCTCCAACGATGAAGCTGAATAATTTCCTATCAGCATATGATACACCTTATCAGAAATCAATATCAGAATTACAAGTTGGCGTAGAGACATCGGAAAGTGAAAAACAGGCAGGACAAGATCAAAGAGCCATTCCATGTTGCGTCTCACTAAGAGAGATTTTGATTTCATTTTCTGCTGTTTTCGCCGTATAGAAGCATCGATTCCCACCGCAGAAGCAAGTAGTTCCCAGTTCACACATCCAGCACTGCACTTCAATTTAATAATCTTCCTAGGAATCAGGTTACACGGCAGGAGGTATGAAAAACAGACACAGCTTAGGTCCACTAGCATTCAAGACATCATCTGCTTTGCGCACATAGCGACAAGCAAGTGTCACACGCTTCGCTGAGCCAAACAAGGGCGCTGGAAAGAATAAATTCTACATAGACTTTGTCTACCATAGCTCACACCGCTAGGCTTTCGGTGCGTTGCTGCTATGCAGCTCGAATGAGATGTTCTCAGGTTACCCAAGCCCAGATGGGAGCGACCGAGAAGCCAGGGTTGGGTTTGAACCAAGAAGCTTCCGCAGTAGTCTCGCATAATAACAGCTGATCTATCTCGAATGACCCGGTGGCTAGGGCATCAGGCTACTGACACAGGAAATCCTACATAAGTCCAACTGGTCATGATTGGTGTAGGCTGTCCTGGGGAGCAACCACTTTGTGATTTCCCGCAGGAATTATTTCCCCTCCAAGGCGTCAATGGTCTATAGGCATCCGCAGAGCACCAAAGTGACTACGGCTGGATCAAAAGGTTGTTGCTGAGAAACACTTGAGACTTGATTTCAGGACAAGTTTATGAGGAACGGTGAGTAAACAAGACCAGAGGAGAAGATATAACGTACGGTTAGCCATGGCTCAAGTCGCGTTGTTACCATTCCACGAATCTCTGAAAGTCCGACAGCCATGCCGACTGTACGGATCAGGCTACGTAAGAGAGTGGCTTCTCCAGAAACTGTACTAGCACCTGAACTAATAGCTGTCGCTGTTGAGGAACAGCTGACAGTACCACCCATCAAAGCAGCACCAGCAGTTGAAGTAGCAGGTTGCACAGTCACACTAGCACCACGACGACTCAGTGCATCACGAAGAGTGTTCACAATAATCACTTCAACCGCCTGACGACATGACTCAAAGCGTGGTGTGACGGACGATGCCAGGTCTGATCCATGAATAATCTGTGAAAAATACGAGAGAGCAAAAGGGCTCAAGTAGATGAACGGGGAATACGAAAACTAATGGGGTTCTTCATTTCACCACAGCGGAGCATGGAGAAACTAATGCTGATATTCTCCTATGAGGCTCACCATAAGACCAGAGCTTGAATGAGATTACCGGAGCTAAAACGTTCACTGTGGATGGAAGCCATTTGGAAGAAAGGCACACAACCTATTGATAAGCAAACAATGGCTTAAAGTGAGAGTATAGACTAGAAAGGATGGCCTCATAAAGGCTTTGAGAGACACGGAATTGAAAGACTCCACAGTGCACAACAGCAAGAATTACAACACAAAACGGTTATATAAATAATAGTATTAGTAGTCGGCGCGACCCTCTCATGGTGCCAACTAGAGTCCAGGAACTCCAGACACGAGAGTAAGTCCTGTTAGTTCTGAACATCCACACCTCCAAGAGATTTCCCGACGCCGTCACCCACCGAATAAAGCGTTTTCTTTCTTTTTCTAGTATTCTCCTGTACATACTTCCGGATCAGTTGCTCGAATTTTAAGTTCGTGATCATGTTTTTCAAAATAAACGATGGCTATTATTGGTAGCAATACCTGGAGGCGTAAGGAACCAACAATAGTGACCGCGAACTAGTATATATCCACAACGCCTGTTTGAATTTGAGCAAGTTACGGTGGAGGTTTACTTCGAATTATGAGAGACTGTCCAGTGATCAGAGTCACGAAGTGGAGAGAAGAACCATAATAAGGTAAGCGACCCAAATTTGATAGACAAGTTTTTTCACGGAACATCGTATGATATTGATAACGGTACTGAAATTTGGTCGACGAGAGACTTATGCACGCCATTTTGTACCGAAAGATCCCAAACAAAAGCAGAGGAACGCTGAAGAAACCGGTACTGAACCAGTATTAAATCTTGTGTTGCATCACAACCTGGAAGGTCAACTAAAGGCAAAAGTAGGTAGGCATGTCTGAGTATAGGCAAGGATGATAAACAGAGCAGAGTAGATTTGGATATTAAACAAATATAGACAGCGGAATCGATAACCAGTAATACGAGGGCACAGGGAGCGAAACTGTGGAACAGAAAAAACAACCTCAAGTGAAGCATCATATTGGACACAACCATGAGATATTCATATGTGGTTATTCAGGCTAAAACGAATAAAAGTAAAACAGTAGCAAGAAAGAGTCACTAAGATTCTGGTAAGGGTACTTCTTGTCTAAACTCAAGTCATCGATATAGCCTCGTTGAAAGAAATTATGAAGACTAACAAGGATGTGGCGACCAAAAATTATGGATCTTTCAACGAGGCTATATAGATGACTTGATTTTAGACAAGAAGTACCCAAACAATAGACTGATTGGCGTAACAAGGGAGACAATAACAACAATTTTGTACGTCTAAATAATAATACCTTTGCAAGTGATACCGGCTGAGATCGTACTACCGTTGAGACAGCATCAGCAATCTCATCTTGCGACTTTGACGTAACAGGTAAAGTGCCCGTACCAACAGTGGAAAGACCTAGGACAGCATGAACGGCACTTGACGCTTGACCGGCCTGACCTGAACTACCGGCATTGGCCGGACTGGCGAGAATGGTGAACAGTCCACGAGGATCCCCGTAGGTTTGTGGGAAGGCTGTCTCAATGTTGAGCACAAACAGACGACATTCGTCCTGATCAACCCATACCCGATCCGTGAGACTGTCTTCTAAATACACCTATGGGTAAAAGAAAGATCCAGAGAAGAGTTAAATCGCGTCACCTTTTGTCAGGTATTCACAAGGTGCGAAAAGACCGTTTCCTCACCTTGATCAGGTGCGATGGCCACTTCACTTGTCCCTCGAGTGCCAGGTAAATGAGGTTAGCTACCAAAACCTGCAAAGAAATACAAATGAGGTCATCGTGTGGAAAATAAATGAGCATGACGTGCCACAGTTATAGCCTTATGCAGAACTAGAAACGTAGAACCTACCATCATTTTCAAGAAAGCTGCACTGTGCTAAAGGACTGCCTTCTGCTGTATTCTTGAAGAGTGTACAGCTGCCTATTTAAAACCTTTATACCAATTATTGAAGGCTGTGGCATGTTTTGAAACCAACAAAGCAGACCGTAGACTACCGAAAAATATTACTTCCAATTTGACAAGCTCCCCCAAGAGACGCAAGCCCGGAGAGAGGTTATTCTGAATCCATCCGAAATTCCAAGGGAGGGTTGAGTTCATCGAATTACTAACGTTGGCATCTGAATTTAACTGTGCGTAGCGCGCATGCGTTAAAGTCGCGATCAACAATTGTGAAGCTGCTTCGGTCACTGCAACAGCAACAAGTTTCCCTGATGCTAAGTGGCCGTATTCACACGGCAACTGTAAGAACAGTCCTGTGTGGTTGTGAAACTTGGTCATCCGATCAGAGGAAAGCAGATGGATTCAAACGTTGGTCACTGGTGCCTTCACAAAGAGTAACGTGTTCGCAATAAATTGGTGCATACGTAAGAACCACAAAAGCAGCATTTTAAACTCATTGGGTTTAAGAAGTTGGGATAGGTACAGCGCCCACTAAAGGAAGCAGTTTTCAACTCCGAATTTTTGCTACCTAAAGCCACACGAGGAGCAGCATATGACTTGTAAGGTACCTAGAGTCCAAATTTCCGGCCCCGTTGCCTCTCGTATAAGGGCCATGTGCTCTTCCTTGATCATCATCATCATCATCATCATCATCGCTATCGACAGCATGACATCAGTGTTCAACACCAATGCTTCACTGCCGTACAACCATGACTTATTTGAAAGCCTTATCGTGGAAAAAAATAAAAAGAATAAAGAATAAAAAGTGCTAGCTCACTACAAACATTCCGAGGTGCCTACACCTCCAGACACTCACTCAGGCAATCTGGAGAGAAACACACAAGAACGCCATTCACATCGGTTGGTGGCCATACCTTGCAGTGTTTCCAACCAGGCGCAGCGGGGCTTACGCGGTCCACATCCTGGAAGACGAGTATCATCGACAGCACCAAAACGTTTCGTAACCTTTTTCACAGCCCTCTGCCAGGTCAAGGGTTGGCCACCTCGCTGCTACGCTGAATTGCGTACGGAAAACAGCACATTCTTCGGCAAACGATGGTTCGGTATACGAAATATATGGCCTAAACAACTCAGCTTCTGGTTCCGGACATACTCTCCAACGGAAGTACTCGTTGCACAACAAAAATTTTGCTTTCCAATGGCATTGTTACGGATTTGCCGACACCAACCCACACGAGCTATGGTTCTGAGACAAAGATAGTCGAATATCTGAAGACGTCATAGCTTCGCTGCGCGAACAGGCCAAGTCTCATAACCATACAACAAAACATCCCGCACTCTATCTCGATACACACCACTTTGACGCTATAGGTGTTTCGAATTAGCAGAGGCATTGACCTGTTACACTACAATAAGAACTAATACAACTTCCAAGATGCGTAAAACGCTCCACAACTTCCAGTGTCTCTTCCAGGATTGTAAGTGGCGTGTTGAGTGACTGCATGTCCACCAGCATGACCTTACACTTTGTGGGTACAAAGTGTATACCAAAGGGCGGAGACTTTGGTCAGTTCATCCAAAAAACTGCGCCTTCTCCTTCTCTTTGAAGATAAGAACCATGTCGTCTTCATGTTCCAGATCGAAAAGGTTTCCGTTACAAGCTTTTCGAACACTAGGGTTTTGGAAACCTTCCAGAGCTCGTCCCATTATCTTATCGATCACAAAGTCAAAAGGAAATGGATGGAGTGAGCACCCCTGACGGATACCGCTATGTGTACGGAAGCTTTTGGAGAGCTCTCCGTATACTCTCACACGTCCGGACGTCCTTGAAAATGGCTAGAAACCCTACACAACCGGTCTAAATCGCAGGCATGCTGTCACGTCCGAACCAGATCGCTTAGTGCATGGTGCGCTCATGCCGCGATATTAGCAAAAGATACTGGGTTGATCCCAGTCATGGTGTATTCGACAGGGAAGCTCAGTTGAGAGTGTATCGTTTTTGTTCCAAAGTGGTTACCTTGTTCTTGGTCGTCTTCCGTAGATATGTGACTGAACATCTATTCTCCCCACACTTTATTAGGTATACTATGGCATCTAAGCACCAGCATTTATTACGCTGTCGAGACGCTGTCGACGGTGATGAGACACCTCAGTTTATCTGCAGATAAAACCCCCGAACAAATCTAGTAGCTGGGTTTATTCTATCTTTATATCCCATGAAGCCGAACTTTCCAGGAAAGCTGATGGACAGTACAGTGGTTTTTAACACCAGCACAGGCCTGAGAGATTCATGTGTCTGTAGCAAATAAGTCTAGGTGGGTTTCTGGTGTCAACAAACCCGATCAAATTTAGGACACAGACATAAACTAACACAACTTTCGAGGCATTTTCGGGCGTTCAAAGGATCTATTGCAGAACCGAACAATGTACTTGCTCACTAATTATTAGGAACGGTGTGTGCGGTCGATCATCATGGAGCTAGACGTGACGGCGATGAAATTTGACGAGTAAAAATTTTCGCTCTGAGCCAACTGGGATGAAGCTGAAAATGATAGCAGTCTATTGACACTACAGTATGGTTCGACCAACTGACATTGAATTGGATCTATTTACGCACCAATGAGTGCATAGGACCAATAGCTCAACCGAAATACTCGGAGCCGGAAATCGGATTAACAAACCAATTAACAGGAAATCCCAAAAAGTCAGATCAATGAAGGTCACAAACCGGAACCCAGAGAGGCCAAGGACAGAGGTTACTTTAGCACCGACCAGAGTACGAGAGCAGGAGACGCCAAACTCAAAGCTCAGGACACAGGATAACATACTAACTAGTGGAACCACCCGATCGAACAAGCAATCGTGATAAAAGGTCAACCCCAGCTACCAGCACGTATATCACGCACACGCAACACAACGTACAACCACAACTCATCCCTACGCTCCACTACGCTCTCTAACGACGCACCGACGATATCACCTCGATTGGTGATGAAACGTTTACAATCGAGTCAAACCAAAATGAAAAAACAACGACCATCTACGCTACCTAAGTTACCAGCGTTCTCCTCAACTGCCTGAGTGGGTCATCGTAAAAGTGGGATCCACGAGTACTTGCGATAGGATAGTAGCGGACTAATTTCCCACCTCCATTTTATTCTTATTTTCACAAAAGATGACGTTGGTGCTTATTCTTATCTAGAATAAATTTGGTCGAGAGAATGCCAAGCCCCGAATTAACTTTAGGACTGTTACTTATTCGATGTGGGAATAGAGAACACATTCGGATCGTGTTACAAAATAGAATAACTTACGTGGAGCCCACGTACGCGGGCAGCGATCGTTGCTACTGCAGATGGAGGTAGCGAGATTCCCAGTTCTCGTGGAGTGAGTGCCAGAATCAGCATGAGTTGATCCAGGACGGCAACGCGGGAGAAGAGCGTGGGATGTGACTGAGCGAGTACAAGTAGTCCCAGGGAAAAGGTCGTCAGCAGCCGAGATCCGGATGCTCCGGAATTAATGCGAAATCCAGTACCAGATGTTTGCACAGTGGAACCGCTCGATAGCGGTCCACTTGCAGTCCGCAACTGGTTAAGTGCACTAAGGACCAACGATTCAGCTAACGTCAGATTTCCGGAGTTCAAGGCAAACTCCGTGCGGACAACAAAGTCTGAAGCATCAACTGGAATGCAAACAATTCGTTGAATTAAAGTGGCAACTTCAGCAAACCTTCTAAAAAATCCGTCCTTGGTTTCTTGGACAGTCCGCTCTGAGCAGAAGGCAAAGATGAAGACGGGGTGACCCGTTTAGACTTGGTACCTACAGAATTGGATTGTGTGATCTAAGGTGCAAACTTACTGAGGGAAATCAATGTACCAACCGGTACCGCAGCTGAATTAGGAAGGCAGATGAATTCAATCGGTTAGAAAGGAGTAGAAGCAAAACTTTTTGAAAAAGATTAAAGAGCATGAGTGTGTGTATGCTGGCAAATATAAACGCAGTAGTTCAGGATATCCGAATGAACTTATGGGTAAAAGGGTAGCCAAAATCGAGGAGGTATATATTACCTCTCCTGTTGCTTCGCATCCTTCGTCAGTTAAATATGTGATAGCTTGCTCGAATTCTGAAATGATTCCTTGCGGCAGAAGACAGCAAAAACCACCACACATAGCAGCTGAAATATGGAACAAATAAGATATGACAAAACCGATCCACGAGAGAAAAAGGTAATCAGTGCGCAACACTGAAAGCGAAATGTTGGGTTAGGTATTCATGGATCGGTACACAGGATCGAGGCTTTTGCCCAAGTTTCTCGGGTCAGTGGCTGTCGTTCACCTGAAAGGCACAAGTGAAAAAAGGGTGTAGCACTGCTCTTTATGTTCTCAGCGCGAGGATTCGCATAAATAAGTGTCTAATAGTGCTTTAAACTGGGTTCTAGAAGGAGCGTGAACAACTGCTGGAGGAAGGTCATTCCACGCACCTACTACCCGAAATGAGGAAAAATTTTGTCTAATGAATGTGTGTGCTCTGAGCTTGAAATTTTTCTTACTATGTCCCCGCCGGGTGTTTGCTGGTCCAACGGTAAAAAAACCTAGTTGCCAAGCTTTGTTCAAACAGGGCATAAATAAGAATTAGGTCCCCTCGGAGGCGACGGTACTCCAGGGGAAAGAGATCAAGCATCGCGAAACACGTTTCGTAGTCCACGGATTTGAGGCCCGTAACCATTCTCGTGGCAGCTCGCTGGACACGCTCAATGAGGGTGACCTCTTCCGTGCATCTTGAGTAGACACCTTGGTTGGCGTACTCCGGAGGCGGTCTGACGTAGGCCCCACAGAGTATTTGGAAGTCCATGCGACTAATACGAGGGGTGCGTCGGATCATCCGTAAAATGGCGAATGCCTTTTGGGCCGAATTCTCATGGTGCAGTGAGAAAGACAGGTTTGAGGAGACTCAGATGCCCAAATCCTTTTTGGCATCTATCCTCATGATGTTTTCTGGTCCCTTTTCACCATGCATAACAAAGGCATTCGCTGAGTCTCATCCAAAGATATATGGACGCACTTTTCGTCATTCAGAGGAAGGTGCCAGTCCAATGACCACTGCTTTGCAGCGTCTACATCCATTTGGAGGGCACTGGCATTGGAACTCCAGGATTTCAAGTCGTCCACAAAAAGTAGACATGGACTTGCAAGAACATCTGGGAGGTCGTTGACGTAGATCAGAAACAGCACTGGTCCTTGAGGAACTCCAATGGAGACCGGCGCTGGTAGGATTGTATATGCACGTTGTGGAGGACGGTTTCAACAGGCACGGGTTTGTTACTTGTCACAGTGCCCGGAGGTCAGTCGTTCTTGATAAACGAACGTCACTGCACTGGGCCGATGTCAAGTGAGCGCTACGGACTAGACGATGGCATACTTTGATTGGTCAGATTGTCAACCAATCTGGATCGAGCACATGTGGCTCGACGCTTCTGGCCCGCTTACGAAGATTCTAGCGATTTTGTGGAACATTGTGTGATGACCCGTTAAATGCACTCGTTTCCATAAAGGGTCACCATAAATTCACCATGCCTTTTGACATACCATAGTGGGTGAACGATGAAGCGAAGTGATGATCTAAAAGTTTAACTGTCGTCTGTAAGACAACAACTGGTGACAACCAGTTGCCACCGGCATCAGGGGCCAGAACCCGGAGTATTGGTCATACCTCAGTGGGCATTGGTTATCCGACCTGAGTACCTGGGCGAAGCTTGCTGAATCCTTAGTACTGAAACAACTAATCTGTGACATTGGCGTCGTAGACACTGTCCATATATTCGGTGAGCAAATTCCCTTCTTCAGTATTCATTATCAGTGTCTTTAGATTCTAAAGCGGGTGTCGTAGGTTTCATCACTTATGTCGTGTGATCAACAAAGAATGCGAATGCCCTCACTTCAACGCCAGGACGCAGGGTCGATTCAGGTGTATCAAATTCGTGGCTGGCATACAATTGCCCTAAGGTGCAGATATTCGTATCAGGTCACTGGATCGGATTGAACAGGATCAGGTGACACCTTAAAAACTTGTCCTTGGATGCCCGCTTCTTATCAGTCCTAATGCTGATGGTGCAATGGTCGGAAATTCCCCCCCCTGTCTGACATGGTGTGTAAAATGACCTTTAAAAGGCAACGGACCATAAGTAAAAATTCCCACGTCATGTTGGTTTCGTGGCGAGTGGTATTTTTGACCCCGCTATCCCCACCATTACCGCTGATACATCATGTAGAGTCAAAAAATCCACAGAGAAATATGGTGAACCTCAGAAGCTCGCGCAAACATCGACTTGACAAAAGCGCGTGCTCATGGGCTCTCCCAGGATGATTCACCCGGCCGACAGAAATCCGCCACTGTATGTATCAACGGTTCACCCGCTACTCCCCAGCTTGATACAGGTTTTAACTTCGCTAACGTTTCAAAACTGACGTAATTGAAGACCCTTAGGTAAATGCACACCGTCTGTAATGCATCCGGTGGGGGCCTGAAACTGTACGCAAAGCTGACTCTTTCAATAGCGTTCAATATGACTCAATCCAAGTGTCATTGTTACCTCATCATATCATCATCATCGACAGCATCGCATTAGTGTTCAGCATTCTGAAGAGAAGTGGGCTATGAACTGTTTTAATGCTGGGTTACTACAATCACTTCGGGGTGTCAAAACCCCGGATACCGGTTCAGGCCGTCCGGATGGAAACTGACGAAAACGGCAATAAAGCCAAACTGGCTGTGTGTACCACCAGGCATCGTGAGGAAAACGCGCAGCAACGACAGCACCCAAGCGTCTCTCACAGCCTTCGTTAAGTCAAGCGTTGGACACCTCGCTGCCACCACCATTATGAATTGGGCACAAAAACTGCGCTGTATTCGGCAAACAATGGTTCGGCATACGCAATATGTGACCTAACCAACGCAGAATCTGGTGCTTGATACATTCTTTAGTGGACTTCAGCGTTGAATAACAAAAAATTTACCCCCTAACTGCCTCCTTACGGATTCCCTGACACCAAACCACACCAGCCAAGGATCTCAGTCAGAGGTTGTCGAAACATCGAGGACGTTTTGGACCCGGTGCTCGAACAGGCCAGGTCTCACAACCATACAACAAAACGGTCTGCACCGCAGAGTGTTACACACGTCCCTTGAGACTCAGGGATATAACGTTTTGTCGCCATAGGTGTCTCAAATTAGAAAAGGCGATCCGAGCATTGCAGATCTGGTCACTCAACTCATTTATCGTAATACAGTTAGAAAAATAAGCTGCCAAAATACACAAAGCGTTCTACAACATCGAGTCACTTCCTGTACTTGTTCTGTGACTGCATGTCCAGGAGAATAACCTTGAGCTTCTTGGTTTCAACGTCGAAGCAAGGGTCAGTTCATCGGAAAACACCTGTGACCTCCTTTCTTCTTTGAAGGCAAGAACGACATTTTTTGCACATTCCGGGCAGATAAGGCTTTCGTCAGGAGCTATTTGGACACCTGTGTTTTAATACCCTCCAGCGCTTGTCCCATAAGGTTTAATCTTTTAAGTAAGCGTTAGATGCCGTTTGTAACAAAACAACCATAGACAGCTGCAATGCGTTATCGGAACTAGAATGTTTTGGCAATTCACAATACCCACAGCCAAACCCTAGACAATTCGGTCACAGTGACTATTCAGTTAGTGGCCTCCGGCACCGGCAAACCTTTCACTTCACTCCATTTTTAAGTTTCTGCTAGCTGCTTGCAACGTCGTGCCATGTGTATCCACCGTTCAAACTGTGGTCCATGTTTAAGCTGATCGCTTTTTGGTTAGAAGAAGGGTAAAGGTGTAGGTAGGAATAGCCACACTCACAAAAGCCAGTTATTGATCCGAGGGTGTGGATAACAATGTCCGCGGTAGCTGCCATCGGTAAGTGATTGCGGCGTTGTCTATTTCGATTCGGGTCCGGCTCACTGCTTGAACGCCGTTCCAGAAATGGGTACTGCAAATGACCAGGCTGAGATCAGCACACCTTTTGGATAGGTGCTCTTCGTTGTCAGTACATGTTGTATTGAGCCCAATACGACCGCAAAATATGCCATCAACAATGCTTAGTCAACCTATTTTAAGCCACAAGCTTTTAAGCCACAAGCAACTACAATGCCGCCTGAGCTTTTAGCCCATTCTACAGGAGTACTTGGGTGCTATATAATGCTTTATAAGCAGATTCTAAGCTAGGCTGTCTGAGCGTAAGCCGGCGTGATAAACACCTCATCTTGTCGAAATTCCTTCACAGATGTTACCGAATGAACTGCACAGGGACTGCAACCAGAGATTTCCCATTCAAGTAGAGACGCTTTCGAATAATTACTCAGCAAAATCCCCACGCGGTACGTCCAGCTAAAGTGACTTCCATCTAACCGGGGTTGCGCAGCTGGTAGCGGAATTATAGCGGGGGGGCAGTTGGTTCTGTCACAGTTATTGTATCCTGGTTCTTTGGTCTGAAAGACAGTATGCACCAATGCAGGGCCAATCCAGCATATGAGCAACAGCTAATTTTTATCGTGCATGTTTCGGTGAGCGAACGCAGGGGCAGCTAATGAGACCCGATTTCGAGGCTTGAAAATAGACTCCAAAATGATACATTGAAAACAAACCCACTAGCTCTAGTGCTGTGAGGTATTTCACATTGGTTTAGGGTTTAAGTAAAACATAGTGTTGAGGGAATCTCAGGACTGTGCCTAAACGACGAGACCAAATAAGGGCGCAACCGATCGTGTTGTGTTTATCGGTGTTCAACGGCCTTGTGAGTAGATTCCTCTATGGTAACATACTGCGATTTCTCAAATATCGTACCACCTGAAAAACGGAGCAGCCTCTGCGCTGTCTTGAACAATACGGTGAACGAGGAGCATGTTTGAGATACTTTGTGATCAATCCAGAGTCTATATTTGACAGCTTGGAATAGAAAGGTTTCATAAGACACTCCAATAGACCGTTGCGGATATGCTCGGTCACCATTTCCCTATCAAATTACTTACTCATTTCGGGAACGGGAATCAACTGAAAAAATGTTCAGCTGTAACTAATTTTCGTTGCCCAACAGCCACGCCGTCAGAAGGAAGCAGGAGGACTTAGATACTGAAAAGTTACCCAAGTCTGGACAGGAAAATTCGACATGCGGAGGTCGGGTTTGAACCGCGGGACTTTTGTTCAGTAAAATAGGGTGAAATCTCTTACTTCTAATCGAATGAATAGAAAAAATATAGGATCCCGAGTCTCGCAAAGTCTTGCGAGACGGGAATGCAGTACGGCAACCATGTGTTTTACGGTATCCGACCGGTCCAGTAAAGCAACGTGTAATGATTCGCATGGGATCAGGAGTACCGCCATGTTGCGTGATTAGCGTACATTGTGTACGACAGCTTTGCTTTTGGTTTTTAATGCAAGAATTCTCCGCGAATCGTTAGAATCGGAGTCAGACCGCTATACCTCATTAGTTGCGCTCCTGGGCTATACAAACCTAGCATATTCAAGTGGATCAGGCTGTTGCGTTACTGGTTCCAGAAAGAGTTCCTCGCAAAAACCTAAACCTTGCAGGTCACGCCGTCTAGTCACAAGTCTCGGGAAGATCCCCTACCCCCCACCTGCCACTCCTTTTATGAACCATACTTTTAAGTCCTCCTACGATCTAGGTGAACGAGGGGTAACGCCTGCTGATATGGCAATTCACAGAAGCGGTCAGGCCTGTTTGAGAGGCGGAAGTGAGGCGTTTTCCGGTGTTTAACAGCAGTTGCCTGAAAACTATATATTCTGTGGGTCGGTGTCGGCAAATCCGTAGGGGGACAGGCACATAGCAGTTTATCAGTTGTGCACC